CGCCGCCCATTCTGTTCGAGTCACATGGGCCCTGTGGTGGAGCGGCGGCCAAGGCCTACATGGGGCCACACAGCCCCGTCGGGTCACGGGGCCAGCGCGGGGCCACATCAGCCTCGCAGGGCCCCCGAGGGCGCCCCCCCCCCCCGAGGGCCCCCGAGAGACGTCGCACAAGATGCCCGCCAACACGGACGCGTTACTGCCGCAAGTTGGCAATGCGGCATATTTATTTCGCGCGAGAGCGCGATTCCTGAGAGCCATTACTGCTGCAGCTGAGGTGGCAGGTGCGCAGTATAAGTCTCAAGATCTCTGAACCCAAGCACTGCGTTATCTATGTGAAGCAATCTAGGTGGCGCAATATATGAGGAGTGATAGATGTTGCGCCATCTGCGTGCGGCAGCTTAACTTGTTCGAAATACCTTCCGCAATCTACGATTGTTGCGCAATCTACGTGGCGCAGTCTATGTGGCGCAATGAATGTTTGTTTCGCAGTGAGTTGTCAACTCCACTGCTCGCGCAACAATCCCACCCACCCACCCGCAACTTGGCTCGCAAAACCATGCGGCGGCGATTGCGATGATTGCTTGGCGTTGGCTGGTGCATCGCTGCGGCCGCGCTAGCCCGCGCATGCTCGCGCGCGAAGCTGCTGGCTGGCCTGGCGCGACCGACGCGGCCGCGGCGGCGCTGACCGCTGGGCCTTTCCAAGCGGGCACTTGAGTGCGACGCGGCGACTCGGGCGGGCGCGGCATCATAGCAACGTCGACAGCGGTAGACACGGTGACGGCAGTAGTGGCGCTGGCGAGGATGATGACAACGACGACGGCAAGGCAGTTGACGGCGCCGATGCTGATCACGCCGACGGCGATGACGGCGCCCTCGCGTCCGCGATGAAGGTATTGGGTTTTGGAAGGAGTTCGAGATGCGCGCGCGGCCGACGCGCGAGGGTGGCCCGCACGGCGCCATTCGACGCGGATCGCGCCCCCCCCCCCCCAGCACGCGCGCAGGGGCGCTCGAATGATCTCGACATGCGGCGCGAGAGGCCCGCGCGACCGAGCCCCATGAACACGTTGAAAATCATGGTTGCCCCAAGAATTCGCAGGGGCGCGGCCGCGACCTTTCGTTTGAAAATCTTCGTCGCGAAGCATTGTTTTTTATATGTCCCAGGACACTCGATATGGAAATCCCCGCGAAACACGCGGTGTCTGAAGAATTGCGGCGCGCGCTCGCGACGGCGCGCGCGCGTGCACCTCGCCCCGTTGTTTTGCAAGGGACGCTTGGGAATTGGTGAGCCGTGATAAACGGGCGCGCGCATGTTTTTTTTTTGTTGCGAGGGTGCAAAGGGGCGGATACCGGCTCAGCTGGGATGCCATGAATTTATTTTCACGGGGTAGATCTTAAAATTTTCTCGGGAAGGAAGATATGCGATATTATCTACGCGGCGCAATCTCTGTGGCGCAACCGATGCGGTGCAATCATATGTTGCGCAATGTATGATATTAATATACGTTGTACCATCTACGTGGTATCTAAGCTGCACAATGGATGTAGCGCGATCTAAGTTGTGCAACCCATGCGGTGCAATAGATGGTACGCAATCTACGTGGTGCAACCTACGCTGTGCAATATTCGCTGCGCAATTGTGCGCGCGATCGAAACGCGCGCAGCAGACGCGAATTATTTTTGACGCGCAACAGATGCGCTGCAAAAATTATAGGGGAACCGATGTGGCGCAATCTACGTGATGCAATGTATGCGATGCTATCTACGTGGTGGAATGCATTGTGCGCGACATGTGATTTGCAGCATATATAATAATAATAATAATAACATATACAGATACACATATATTTATATATATACATATATATATACATGTGAATGTGCATACCCCCTGCTGGTATGTGTATATATAAAGATGTTGTGAAGTAGATAGGGCTGCGGAAAAAAAGTTGTGCGAATTACGCGGTGCACTCTATGGCGCACAATGCATGCACTGGGGTCAATGGCGCGAGCGATCAAAAAGCGCGCCGCTGGCGCGAAACACACATCGAACAATCTACCCACTGCAACCTACGCGGTGCACTTCATGTTTATAGACGAGCTGACACAGTCCACGCTCTTGCAAACATCCCACCCGCCCACCCGCAAATTGGTTTCCGATACCCATGCGGTAGCGATTGCTATGCGTGCTGGGCGTTGGCTGGTCCATCTCTGCGGCCGCGCCAACCCAAGCACGCGCGCGCAGCGGCCAGCTAGTTTGGCACGACCGACGCAGCCGCGGCGGCGCTGACCGCCGGGCATATCCCAGCGGGCACTTCAGTGCGACACGGCGATTTAGGCGGGCGCGGTATCGTGGCAACGTCGTCAACGGGAGACAGGGAGACACGACGATGATGGTAGCGATGCTGGCGGCGATGATGACAACGACGGAGGCGCGGCCAGCGCGGGCGCCGATGCTGATCACGCCGACGACGATGACGGCGCCCTCGCGTCGTTGATGAGGGCGCTGGAAAGAATTCGACACGCGCGCGCTGCTGTCGCGCGAGGGTGGCCCGCGTGGTGTTTTTTAACACGGATCGCGCCCGCCCCCCCCCCCTCCCCCTGCCCCAGCACGCGCTCAAGGGCGCGCGAATGATGTCGGCGTGCGGCGCGAGAGGCTCGTTTGGCGGAATGCTATGTGCACGTGCGTTTTTTCTTTAAAAATATTTTTCTTTTGAACAGAAAGACTTCTTCCGAATTCGCAAGACCGCGAGCGCGCGCTATTTTCTTTTTGACAACGGACGTTGCGAAACAATGTGTTCAGCAGATGCGCTGGACACTCGGTTGTGAAATATTGCCACGAAACCGATGGTTCTCGACGGAGTTCGACACGCTCGCGCGACGACGCGCGCGCTTGCATTTCGTCTCATCTGTTGTAAAGGATTCTCGTGACGGCACGCGCGCAAGGGCGTTCGAGCGATGTCGACATGCGCGCGCGTGAACCCCGTTCGGTGGCATTTTATGAATACGTTGACGAACTTAGACTTTCTTAAGAATTCGCAAGAGCGCGCGCAAGTTGTTTTGGACATCCGCGCTGCGAAACTATGTGTTTAATGCGTTGTTTGGGCACTCCGTTTTGAAATCCTTGCCAAACCGACGGTTTTTGAAGGATTTCGGCGCGCGCGCGACGACGCGCGCGCGTGCACTTCGTCGGCTTCTTGTTTTTGCAAGGGGGTTAAAACAATTGCGGTTTGGGATAAACGAGCGCGCGCGTATAAGATTCTGTTGCAGAGGACGGCAGGGGGGCGATACCGTTTCGGCCGGGCTGGTATCAGCTCATGCTGAGGATGGGCGATGGGGCAGAACCATACGTAAATTGGTATGCAAAAAGGGAACGGCTAATCCCGCGGGGGTCGAGTCTATTCTTCAAGAAGAGAAGAATTATGTGGTGCTGTTGATTCGATAAAACGAGTTGGCACATCTCCTGCTCTTGCAAACATCCCACCCACCCACCCGCAACTTGGCTTGCAAAACCCACGCGGTGGCGACTGCGATGAGTACTTGGCTTTCGCCGGTGCATGTCTGCGGCCGCGCCAACCCAAGCACGCGCGCGCAGCGGCCAGCTAGTTTGGCGCGGCCGACGCAGCCGCGGCGGCGCTGGCCGCTGGGCACATCCAAGCTGCCATTGCAGCGCGAGTCGGCGATTTGGACGGGCGCGGTATCATGGCAACGTCGACAACTGTAGACACGTCGATAGTAGCGATGCTGGCGAAGATGATGACAACGACGGAGGTGCTGCCAGTGAGGGCGCCGATGCTGACCACACCGACGACGGCGTCCTCGAATCGGCGATGAAGGCGCTGGACAGAGTTCGACAGACGCACGCGGCCGACGCGCGAGGGTGGCCCGCACGGCATTCTCCGACGCGGATCGCCCCCCCCCCCGCCCTCCCAGCACGCGCGCGAGGGCGCGCGAGTGATTTCGGCATGCGGCGCCAGAGGCGGCCGTTTGGGAGAATTCCATGAAGATGATGAAAAACCGTTGGTTTTCCAAAGCATTCGCAAGAGCGCGAGCGCACGTTTTCGTTGCTTGTTTTTGTGAAAACTGATGTTGCGAAACAATATGTTTCATATGTGTTTTAGACATTCGGTTTTGAAGCCGTTATGAAACCGATGGTTTTGTAACGGATTTCGGCACGCGCACGCGACGACGCGCACACGCGTGGTTCGCCCCTTATCTTGCGAAGGATCCCCCGACGGCGCGCGCTAGGGCGTTCGAACGATTTCGACATGCGCGCGCACGAAGCCCGTTTGGTAGCATCTTATGGAGATGCTGAAGAACCTAAGGTGTTCCTAAGAATTCGCAAGAGCGCGCGCACAAACGTTTTTCTGAGAATTCGCATTGCGGAACCATTTGCTTGTATATGTTTCTTTGACACTCGATTTTGAAATCCTGGCGAAACCGAGAGTTGTTGAAGGATTCCCGCACGCGCGCGCGACAACCCGCGCGCGTGCACTTCGTGTTTTGTTCGTGGCAAGCGGTTTTTGGAAATTGATGGTTTGTGCGCGCATCGTGTGTTTTTTCCCCGAGGACGGCGGGGGGGCCCGATATTGGCTCGGCTGGGATGGTATGGGCTTATATTTCGGATGGACGATGGGGCAACATCATAGGTAAATTGCAACACGAATAGGGGGGTCGATAATCGCGGGGGGGGGTCGAGTCTATTCTTCTTCTAGCAAGGATAATGTACGTGGTGCGATATATGATGTGCAATCTTTGTGGTGCATCTTATGTTGCGGGCGGTATTTCGCACAATCTCTGCGGCGCGATCCAACGGCGGCAACGGGCGGCGACGAGGCGGCGACGGGGCGGCGACGGCCCACGCGGAGTTGCCAGACCAGTCAACCGGCTCAGACGACGGGCGGCGACGGGGCGGCGACGGCTGGCACGGAGCCTCCAGACCAGCCAATTGGCTTAGTTCTGGGGACAAGGTGCAAGCGCAAGGGGGGCAATGGAAAAACATAATGCGTGCACTGGTGGCGGGGTCAGGTCAACAACAACTACCCTGCAGATTTGAAGTGGTAGTTGAACAACAAATACAGGTTAGCCAGCGTCGACCCCAAACAGCAGGCTCTTGCAATCTACGCGGTGCAATCTGTGCGGCGCAACGTATGCGATGCAGGCTATGTAATGTAATCTACGCGGTGCAATATATGCGGTGCAACTTACGTGGTGCAATCCACTCTGCTGAATTTGAAGTCGTCATCTCCACTGCCCGCGCAAACATCCCACCCACCCACCCGCAACTTGGTTTGCAAAACCTGTTGAAACCGACTACGACGACACCGACGACAACGACTAGGACGACACCGACGACGTCTCCGACGACTTCGACGACGACAACGACGCCGACGCCGACGACGACGAAGACGACGACGACGACGCCAACGAAGGCGACGACGAGGAAGGAGGAAGGACGACGACGGCGACAACGACGACAACGACGAAGGAGGAGGGAGGACGGCGACGACGCGAACGACGACGAAGGAGGAAGGACGGCGACGCCGACGACGACAACGACGAGGGAGGAGGGAAGACGACGACGACACGACGACGACGACGGCGATGAAATAGGAGGGACGACGACGAGACGCCGACGACGGACGACGACGACGACGTGGGAGGAGGAGGAAGGACGACCACGGCGACAACGACGACGGAAACGACCACGACGCCAAAGAGGACGACGACGACGAACACGAGAAAAGACAGAGGACGACGTAGGCGACGACGACGACGACGACGACGCGGGAGGAGGGAGGACGGCGACGACGACGACGACGACGACGACGACGCAAGAGCGCGTGCGCGCGCACGCTTTTGTTGAAAGTCCGTGTTGCGAAACCTTGGGTTGTTGTAGGTTTTTGGGACGCACGATTTTGAAACCCTTCCGAAACCGATGGGTTTTGAAGGTTTTCGGCATACGCCCGCGACGACGCGCGCGTCTGCACTTCGTTTCATTTTTTGCAGAGGATTCTCGCGACGGCACACGCGCAAGGGCGTTCGACAGATTTCGACATGCGCGCGCGAAGCCCGTTTGGTAGCATTTTGTGAATATCTTGAAAAACCTATGGTTTTCTTCAGATTTCGCAAGAGCTCGCGAGGAAGTTTTTTAGCAAATCCGTGTTGCGAAACCATATGTTTTTGTATGTGCTTTGGAAACTCGATTGCGAAATCCTTCCGGCACCGAAGGTTCTTGAAGGATTTCGGCATGCGCGCGCGACGACGCGCGCGTGCGCACTTCGTCCCATGTTTTTGCAAGGGATTTGCGAAAAAGTGCGATGTTAGAACAAAAAATGTCACCGCATAGTGTTTTTCACAAGGGTGACTCAGGGGGGGAACCCGGCCTGCCTGGCATGGTATGATTTCATATTTGGGATGGACGAATGTGCAGAATATATATGAAACTATATAATTTTATGGGGAAGTGATAAGTCCGGGGGGGGGTACAGTTTTCCTTTTTTTAGAAAAGAGAATCTACGCGGTGCAACTTGTGTAATACAATTTGATATACGCGGTGCCACCAATGCACTGCAGTCTACGTGCTGCAATCTACGCGGCGCAACGTGCGCGATGCAACCTATGTAGTGCAATATACGCAGTGCAATATATGCGGTACAATTGGTTTTAACACGCGAGTTGGCACATCCCACGCCCTTGCAAACATCCCACCCACCCACCCGCTACCGGGTTTGCAAAACCCACGCGGCGGCGATTGCGACGCATGCTTGGCGTTGGCCGGTGCGTCCCCGCGGCCGCGCCAACCCAAGCGCGCGCGCAGCGGCCAGCTAGTTTGGCGCGACCGACGCGGCCGCGGCGGCGCTGACCGCTGGGCACATCGCAGCGGGCACTTCACTGCGAGTCGTCGACTTGGGCGGGCGCAGTACCATGGCGACGTCGAAAACGGTAGACACGACGATGATAGTAGCGATGCTGGTGACGATATTGACAACGACGAAGGCGCGGCCAGCGCGGGCGCCGATGCTGATCACGCCGACGACGATGACGGCGCCCTCGCGTCGGCGATGAAGGTTTCGGAAAGAGTTCCAGATGCGCACGAGGCCGACGCGCGAGAGTGGCCCGCGCCGCATTATTTGACGCGCGCCCCCCCGGCACGCGCGCGAGGGCGCGCGGCGCGAGAGGCCCATTTGGCAGAGTTCCTTGGAAATGTTGGGAACCCGTTGGTTTTCTCAAGAATTCGCAAGAGTGCGAGCGCGCGCTGTTCCGAAAATTGACGCTGCGAAACCACGTGTGTTTTGCATGTTGTTCTGGACACTCGGTTTTAAATGTGTAGCGACACCGAAGGTTTTGGGCGGATTTCGGCACGCGCGCGCGACAACGCGCGCGCATGCAATTCGTTTTATATGCTGGAAAGGGTTCTCGCGACGGCACGCGCGCAAGGGCGCTCGAATAATTTCGACATGCGCGCGCGAAGCCCGTTTGATAGCATTTTTTGACAATGTTGAAAAAAAACGATTGTTTTCTAAAGAATTCAAAAGAGCGCGCGCAAGTTTTGTTTGAGCATCAGCGTTTTGAAACAATGTTTATATATATATGTGACACTGGATTTTCAATTCTGCACGAAGCCACAATTTGTCCAAGGATGTCGGCACGCGCGCGCGACGACGCGCGCGCGTACATTTCGCCCCTTCCTTTTTTTGCAAGGGATTATTCGAAACTTATGCTTGTATATAAACGAGCTCGCGCGCATCGCATCTGTTGCAGAGGATAGCGGGGGGGCGATACCAGCTACGCTGGGATGGTACGACTTTAGTTTTAAAGATGGACGATGGGGCGGGATCATATGTAAATTTCACTTCGAAAATGAGGATGGGATAATGCCGGGGGGTCTGTTTTATTTCTAGAAAGGAGAATTTGTGCTTGTCCGCACTGAGTTGACAACTCCACTGCTCGCTTAATCATCCCACCCACCCACCCACAACTTGCTTTGCAAAACCATGCGGCGGCGATTGCGATGAGTGCTTGGCGCTGGCTGATCACGCCGACGACTATGACGGCGTCTTCACGTCGGTGATGAAGGTCTTGGAAGGAGTTCGACACGCGCGCGGCCGACGCGCGAGGAGGGCCACATGGTGTTGTTTGACGCGGATCGCCCCCCCCCACCCCAGCACGCGCGCAAGGGGGCTCGAATGATTTCGACATGCGGCTCGGGCGGATCGCTTGGCAGAATTAAACGAGCATTTCTGCATGTTTAAAAGATGCAAGTGGTTGTTCTAATTTTTATTTATTTATTTATTTATATATATATATATATATATATTATATATATATATATATATATATTCAAATAAATTCGAATTGGCCTTGGCGGGTTTGCGTGGACCCCCGGATCCCCGAGCCTCCCGGGGGCTCCAAACCGGCACCGGAAGGCCCCCGGAGGGGTCCGAAACGGCGTCGGAGTTCCCCAGAAAAACCCAGGACGGATTACGGAGGCCCCGAGACGACCCAAGACGGCTTTCAGGCGGCCCAAGATGTTCTCCAGACGGCCCCATACGCCCCAAAGACGCCCCCGGACGGCTCCGGGGGGGTCCGAGGGCTCCCCCAGGAGGGCTCCATCAAGCAAAAATGGCCACATTCCCTTCGTAAATTGCCCATGTTCAACAGATTTGACATTTTCTTTTACGAAGCGTCCAAGACAGCCCCAGAGGCCTCCAAGATTGCCCAAGACGGCCCCCAAGAGGGCCCAAAGATGGCTCAGACGGCCCCAGGACGGCCCAAGGGGCGCCCAAGACGGCCCAAGAGGACCCCAACAGGTGCCCAAAAGGGGCCCAAGAGAGCCCAAGATGGCCCCAAGACGGCCCAAGTGGCGCCCAAGGTGGCCCAAGACGGCCCCAAGACGGCCCAAGAGGCGCCATACACGGCCCAAGAGGGCCCCGAGGAGCCCCCAAGAGGCCCAAAAGAGCCCATAGAGCTCCCAAACGGCCCCCTAGAGGCTTCAAAACTGCCTCCAAGAGAGAGGGGCGGACGAGAGGCGAGAGGCCCTTCGCAGGCGCAAAAGAACCATATTTTTACACTCCCGTGGCCCTGGCGCTGCCCGTCTGCGCTCCCTATTTTGCCGCGACGCCGTTCCGACGCTTCCGACGCGGCCCGAGACGGCGCCGCGTTTGACCCGACCCGCTCCCGCGTCCGCCGCGATCCCGACGCGTATCTTCCAACGCTGCTCTGGCTTGGTCTCTTGAACTTTTGCCTCTTGCGAAGCTCGAACACTTCGGCCCCCGCTTCGGTGCATTGGGGCCGCTCAGTGGGGGAACAGCACCAGAACTAGCTTCACAGGATCTACGGCAGTAGCTGGCAGCGTCGCACAACCCAGCACTCGCAACCAAACTTCGATCCGCGCAACTCCGTGGATTTAATCCACGGGTCCACACTAGTATATATATATATATATACACACAAAACGTATTGATGTTTTTAGAATCCGCGAAAGCGCGAGCGCCGATTTGGGGGGAAACGAATTGTTCGAAACCATGTGTAGTTTTCGGCCACTCGATTTTGAAGCCCGTATGAAACTGAAGGTGTTTGAAGGACTTCGGCATGCGCGTTCGACGACGCGCGCGCGCACGCACTTTGTCCCAGCTGTTGCGAAATATTCGCGCGACAGCACGCGCGAAAAGGCGCCCAAACGATTTCGACACGCGCGCGCGAAGCCCGTTTGGTAGCATGTTTTTGAAAAAAATCGAAAACAAAACGATGGTGATTTGAAGAATTCGCAAGAGCGCGCGCGCAAGTGTCCTTTTGAAAATGCGTGTTGCGAAACCATGCGTTGTTATTTCCTCTGCGGCACTCGATCGTGAAATCTTTACGAAAACGACGGTGTTCAAAGGATTTCGGCACGCGTGCGCGACAACGCGCGCGTGTGCACTTCGTCCCGTTTTTGGCACAGGAATTGTCAAAATTGGTCTGTTTTGATAAACGAGTGCGCGCGCATAATTTCTGTTGCGGAGGATGGCGGGGGGGTCGATACCGGCCTGGCTGGGATGGTACGAATTCATAGTTAGGATGGACGTTGGGGCAAAATTATACGTCAATTACATGACGAGAAGGGTTACCAATACTCCCGGGAGAATCTGCGCGGTGCAACCTATGTAATGCAATATATGCGGTGCGCGGCGGCAACGGCGGCGGCGGCGGTGCCGCGACGGCGGTGGCGACGGCGGCGACGCGCGGCACGGACGGCGACGGCCGCCCCTGGTCCCGAGACGAGCGGCGGCGACGGACGGCGGCGGGCGGCACCGCCCGCAAAATCCGCCGCTGGCCCCGAGATGGTTAAGCCAAGTAAGAACCAGGGCTCGTTTCGATTCCTCCGATTCGATTCGATTCGATTTCGATGGTTTCCGATTCCGATTCGATTCGATCTGGGCTTCCGATTTGAGTTCCGATTTCTTATTGGAGGCACACTAGCCTGCCGATTTCTGCCGATCCGACTTTTCCCGAGTCGGCTGCCGATTTCCGCCGATCCAATTCATTTCGATCGCCGATCCGACTTATCGATTCGATTCTGGGCTCTCCTGAAGTACCCCTAAGTGCAAGCACTCTTAGGGGAATTAGCAGTGGCAGCAAAACAAATGTAACAGACGAAAGCAACAACGCTCCGCCGGAGGGTTCACCTTCAGGGAGCTCGGACACAACGCCGCCCTCATCGCCGTGGGCCTCGGCTTCATCTGGCTCTACGTGAGGCCACCCGGCGCTTGGGCCGCAGCAGCTGAGGGATGGTGCGAGGCGTCCGTAGCGGTGGTCCCGTGTCCTGTCAACGCGGCGGTGACCCCGCCGCGGGCGTTCACGGTTGAACGCCGCCAGTGGCCCAGGGTCGGCCAGCATGGACGATTTGGCGACCGAAATGCCGCCGACCGTTCAAGGTTAAACGACCCATACGGTGTTAGGGACCAACGCCAGGGTCGTCACGATACGAGCCTGCCGTAACACAGACATGCGACGTCCTGATGTTTGTCCCGGCGTCCCCAGAAGTCCCGATCCATTCTTTGGGGCCCGCTTTTCATCCCGAGTCGTTTTTTGACGGTTCTGGGCTGGGCGAGGGCCCACAGGGGCTGAAAATGGTGAAAAATGCCACGTCCTGAGTTGTGTGGCGACGCGAGCAGGTCTGGGGTCAGCGCCAACGGGGGTCGGCCACTCCCCTCTGGCCGACCCAGGCTCGGGAGTCACTCCAGAAAGTCGGGCGTCGAGCAATGGGAGGGCGAAGAAAGGTGCACACTTTTGTGCCCCAAAGGGGCCCTGAAGGAGCCCCCTGGGGCCCAAACGGGGTGCAAAAGGTGTACATGTCTCCTCCTTCATTAAACCGCAACCCCTGGAAAATAAAGCCTGCCCCCCCTTTCCCATTGTATCTCTTGACCCACTGGATTGAACGTGGCTCCATTGAAACAGCAGGCGGGGAGGCCGAATAGAATTATCCCCTCCAAGAATCCTATCGCAGCTCTGATTGTGAGGATGCCTCCGACGAAACGCGATCCAGACATCTCCCTCCCGAGAGGAGGAGGCCCCAGGAGGGCTGGCCAGGCGGGCCCGCCTTCGCCCGCGGCGATGGCGCCTGAGGCACTGCGTCGGCCGGCCGCCGCCCCGCCGCGCAGTCGCTCGCGTGGCGGCCCAGCGCTTGGCCGCGCTCGAGCTCTGCGCGCGAAGCACGCAGGCGCACGGCGCGGGGGCGGTCACTCCCGTGGCGGGGGCGGTGGCGCTGGCAGGCATGGCGCTCGTGGCAGAGGCGGCCGTGGTCATCGCGGGCCTGGCGACCGCGGCGGAGGCGGGCTGCCCGCGGGGCATCGCGGCCGTCGAGGCCATTCGGCGAGGCCCAGCCCTGCCCGCCGAAGCCGCGCGGCATCCGAGTGGTATTCGGGGAAGTACCTAGCGATCCCGCAGTCAGCGCTGCAGGGGGTCGTCGTGGAGGTCGAGCTGCGTGGGCTCGCGACCTCCAGGCTGGTCGAGCTGGCCAAGCACACGGACGGCTCGGCGAACGAGCCTGGTCAGGAGGGGTTCACGCTCGCGTTCGAGGTGAACTACCCTGGCGCGGAGGATCCTCGCGACATCGCGGAGATGGAGCGGGCGTTCATCGGGCTGGACGAGGATTCGCCGTTGTCGGTCATGCACTTGAGGGTGGAGGGTACGCATCCCGATGATTGTGAGCAGGCTGATGAGGTCTTCGGTGCTGCGGGCATCCACGTGGCCCGCTAGCGCTACGCCGCGCTGCCCTTCAAAGGCTACAAGGTGCTCACCGAGCCGACCTTGGACCAGGAGCATTTCTAGCAACACCCGATAAAAAGGGCCGTCCTGCAGAACGCTTCTGGCACCCGTCCACCCCAGCTGGATTGTTTTCCCCATCGTGGGACCCGCGCCCGCCCTCTGGCCGCGTGCCCCTGGTCGGAGGCCCTGTCCCCTAGGCTGCCATCCCCCTTGGGCCTCTCGCCTCTCGCCTGCCTAAGAGGGGCAACAGTCCGGGTGCAGCGTCATCCTCCTGGCGCCCCGCCTCGCGCGTTTGAGCACACGGCCCGTTGCTGCATGGCTCGGTTTCCCCGCATCTCTTTACCTGCCGTTCGCATTGCTTGCCCATCACCCGGGACCGCACAGCTGGGCTTGAGCGCGAACACCAGACGTGTTGATGTAATTAATGGAGCGTCTTCCTCCGCATTCGCCGCGATCGCGCGTCACATCGCCAGAGGAGTAAGGTGCGCGTGTGCGCCAGGCCTTCTTTGGTCGGCTGCATGCTCGCTTCGCTTGCTTTGCCTCCTCGGTTTGGCCTACACCTTAACACAAGATCTCACGACCTTTGCGAACATCGCGGTGGCCACAGAAGTCGTTGCCCCTAGCCCCGGCCGATGTGTTACTCCTGAGCTGAGCCGCGCACGCTCCAGCTGGTGGTTCGCGTGCAGCTCACAGCGCGCACGAGGCCCGGAAAGCCACGTTGGCCATCCAGTCGTTGCGAGAGCTACCGCCGACCCGCGACGCCGCCGACGCCGCCGCTGCCGACGACGACGACGACGACGACGACGACGACAGGGGCCGCGGCGGCGGCGCCCAGGCCACGGCGCCCAGAACAGAGCCACGGTATCACCCTCCCGCAGCGGCCATCCCTGGGCGCAGCCAGCAAGACACTCGCAAGCCTTCTGATCGTCGCACGTCTTGGTATACGAGGCCGTTCTCTTGCACCCGAAGGGGATGTTTCAGCATCGAGCTGCCGCAGGGCGCGCTGCACCGGCCGCCAGCACTTCTTCGACCATGGCGCGAGCCGAAAGGCTCGAGTGCGTTGCCGGCCACGCCGTTGTGATCGCCACTCGCGCCGTGGTCATGGCAAAGAAAAGACACTCGCGGCTCTGGAACTGCGGAGAGGGCCGGGCATCCGGGGAGGAGGAGAGGTCGACACCGATGCCCGCCCCACGTCGCCGCGGCCTGATTCGCCTTGAAGCTCTGGGCAGGATGCACCCTGGGAGAGGTGCGCGGAGCAGCGATCCCGGTCTCGCCGCGTCCCCGTAGAGAAAGTGGGGTTCAGTGGGCCTGGCTGGGGCCAGGGGTTGCGGCAGGAACGGCGAGAGACAGCCGGGAGGAGAGGGAGAGCTTTGTGGATCAGCTTCCGTCGCTCTCGGTTTTCACCGTCCTCCCCGCCCAGGAAGGAGAGAGGAGGGAGGAGAGATGGAGGGAGGAGAAAGCAGCAGCAGGAGGAGGAGGGGGAGGGAGGGGGAGGGAGGGAGGGAGGGGAGAGGGATGGAGGAGAAAGAAAGAGAGGGGAAGCAACAGCAAGAGGAGAAGAAGGAGCCCGGAAGCAGAACGAGGACAGGGGCGAGGACGAGAAGGAGCGAGAGGCGAGCCGAGGAGAGGATGACGCACATGGGGGATTCTTCTGACGTGCCCCTCTTGAGCGATGCAGCAGAAGCACGAGGGGGAGGCGCGGGAGGAAGAGGAGAAGGTGGAGGAGGAGTGGGAGGAGGAGGGACGAGGGAGGCCCTCCCATTCAGCCCCTCTCACCCTGCCTCTTCACCCTCTCTGCTCCCCATCCGGCTCCCCTCTTCTCCCCTCCTCCCCGGAGGCATTGCTACGATCCGGACCGAATGGACGACACGATGCTGTTCAGCCAGCCGACCGAGGCGGCACAGACGGCGGATGGCATGGAAGAGGAGCCGCCCTCCTCGTCCCTCCTCATCCTCGCTCCTCGCTCCTGTCCCCGTTCTTCATCCACCTTCCTCCCTGCTATTTCCTCCCTCACTTTCCCTTCTCCGCCCCCCTCCTTATCATGCTTCTCCTCATCATCATCATCATCATCATCATCATCATCATCATCATCATCATCATCAGCAGCAGCAGCAGCAGCAGAATCAGTATCATCGTCATCAGCATCAGCATTAGCATCAGCATTAGCATTAACGTCACCATCAGCTGCAGCATCATCATCATCAGCAGCTTCAGCATCATCATCATCATCATCATCAACATCATCATCATCATCATCATCATCATCATCATCATCATCATCATCATCATCATCATCATCGTCATCATGATCATCATCATCATCATAATCAATATCAGCATCAGAATCATCATCAGCAGCAGCATCATCTGGAGCAGCATCGTAATCAGCATCTGCATCATCATCAGCATCAACAGCATCATCATCATTATCAGTATGTCCATCACCATCACCACCACCACTATCATATAGTACCATCAACAGTATCAGCAGCAGCATCGTCATCATCTCCATCGCCATCACCACCACCATCACTATCATCATCAGCATCTTCACCAGCATCATCATCGTCACCAGCACCATCGCCATCATCATCACCATCGTCACCATCACCATAATCATCAGCATCAGCATCATCATCATCATCAGCATCATCATCATCATCATCATCATCATCATCATCATCATCATCATCAGCATCATCAGCAGCAGCAGCACCAGCACCAGCAGCAGCATCATCAGCAGCAGCGTCATCTTCTTCCTGCCCCCTCCTCGTCCCTCCCTTCTGCCTCCTCCCCCTTCCTCCCACCCGCATCTCCCTGCTCTGCCCTCTCCCTCCCTCCCTCCCACCCCCCCTCCTCGTCGTCCTCGATGGGGAAACGGGGGGGGGGAAGAGGGAGAGAGAGCGGGGAGGGAGGCGGGCGGACGACCTGGCGAGCGCCCCCCCCGAGGAGGATGCGAACGCCGAGGTGGAGCCCGACCTCATCGTCCCGCCGCCCCTCTCCCCCCGGACGCTGCGCGCCCCCCCGCCCCTCTCGGCGCGCAGCCCCACGCCCGAACCGAGAGAGAGGGTTGGCCAACGCGCGCCTGGAGACTCGCTCCTCCTCCCCCCTCCCCCTCCTCATCCTCCTCCTCCTCCTCCTCCTCCTCCTCCTCCTCCTCCTCCTCCTCCCCCTCCTCCACGCCTCTGGTCGCCAGCCGATACCAGACTCCTTCCGCGAATGCCTGGTCGTGGCCTTCTCGACCGATCACCACACCAGGCATCTCAAGACCGAACACCTCAATGCCAGCATGTTCGGTGATCACACCAATGTTTATGAGAGAAGTTTGCGCCTCCCCCAGCGCGCGCGGCGGCGGCAGAGGCGCCTGGAGCCAAAACTGTGCGCCGAGGCACGGTGCGCTCCTCCAAGGCTCTGGAACGAGCCCACTTCAATTCCCGTCTGGGTCCTGTCCCTTGGGATGGGCGAGGCAGGTGGAAGCCCGCTTCACTTCCCGCTTACAGTCCGTTTCAGAGCCCAGCGCGCCAGCCGCGATACAGTGGAGAGTTCGCAGTCTTCGTGAGAGATCCCCTCCCGTGTTCCGCCGTACTCGGCCGCGGCAATTGTCGTCGCGACCTTCGGCCTTTGCACATGGGGCACAATACCTGCATTCATCGCCCGAAAGTCTCGTTGGCCATGGACCCCAGAACCTGTGCAGGGCAGCTGGACGTTCTTGAGCTGACGAGAACTCACCGCTCCACAACTCAAACAAGCAACCACCGCACACTGGGGGGTTGGTCACTGGCCGCAGGTGTCTGGCAATGCACAAGCCTGTGACCGACGCTCCCGTTCTCTGTCAGCACTCTGTTCGCCTAGACGGCCCTAGACACAACCGGTCAAGGATACTCCGAGGACGACGGGCCAGGCACCCGACACCGAACACACCACGTGGCCTTTGGGGGGAGCCCGCCAGGTCATGGGCGAGCTTGGGGGAAACGACCACGAGACCTCCAGGGGCCTTCCGAGCCCTGGCCCCAGGTCTAATCGTGACGACATCGAGCGAAGTCAGCCGAGCCTACACGCATAATCCAACGCGCGCCGTCCTCGACCAAACCTCGCGCAGATTTTGTTACTCGTGGGCTTTTGGCGACAGCCTATACTTGGACGCGGAATGTTTGGCCCAGACGTCCGCACAATAATTCCCAAAGCGGTCTCTCTGCGAGATGATCACGCGACCAACGTCGGACTCTGACACGTGGTCCGTGACCTTCCGAACCTGGAGCCCATCGGGGTCGAGACCACCGAAGTCCTGGACGGCCGCACAGAAGTCACAACAAAGCCCAGCCCACGCGGCACGGTAAGCGGTAGTCCGTTGAGGACCGCGTTCTTTGCCCCCGTGATTCGCAAACTTAGAACCAGTCACAGCGATGGCAGGCGAAGCGGCAATCCTCAAAACCTTGACGAGAACATAGTTTGTTGCCCCGCTTGCATCATTGTACAACTGGGGCAGGATGTCATGTATCACATCACGCTCGCCCAGAGGATCCTCTGGATGCAACGTTACGATCGCCTACCCGCCCGGGCCCACCCGATCCCAAACCCTTGTATACAGAGAGCCTTCTAGCAAGGCCCTTCGCGGCTCAAGGGTGCCGTCTCAAACGTGTTCCTGCCACGTTGTACAGCCCCCGTCAGGAATCATGAATTCAGCAGGCACAGGGGGCAGGTTACAGTGCCCTCTCCAAGAGATGGTGAACCCGCTGGTGAGGTAATCTGCCAAGCAGCAGCTGAAATCTGGCGGGCAGCGGGGGCTGATCCCTCCCACTCTTGGCACCCGAAGTGCCTGTGGACCAGCGACCCGATCCCAGGACAGAGAAGACATCCCGAGTGCGCTACGAGACCAGTTTCGCACTCCTCGTCCGCGGCAAGGCCTGTTCAGTAGTCGAGCCAGCGGGAACGGGACCGCCCGCATAGAAGAGATGTTCGAGGCCGTCCTCGCGGGCCGCATTGTCCCATTGCCACGCCTGGATACGCGTGCACAACAGCGCCCGAAGGTACCACACGGAACACGCACGAACATTGATATGCGACGATACGCGTGCCATCGTGCATGATCCAGGAGATACGCTCGAGGGACAGCTTGAAGGCGCCGCAGGGCTACCTGGGACCACTGCGCGATGCTGAGGGCCTCCTGGGGGGCCATACTCGATGACCTTCTCGGGCACCCAGCATTCCTGCAGAGCTCCCCCTGGGCGCCAGAAGGGGCAGGAGAGTCGCACGGGTTAAATGGGGTCAAGCGGGTTGCATAGCATCAATGTCATCGTGCACGGCTTGCAGACAGTACAGGCTCCACCGCCACGAACGCCAGATTGCGGGCCGACGCCACCTCTGAGCGCGACGTGCCCGTGACCGACGATCCGTACGACACCCCCGATTCCACACCAGCACGGGCTACAAGTTGAGCGGTAGTTCACAACAATAAAACATCTTCGTGCGTCCAATGTTTCGAACGCGCGGCACCCATACGCTCCCCTCGAACCCGTTTGAGCATTCTCCGACCGCATGCAACGTCAATTCCCAGATTCCTCCCGTGACGAGAGGGCACCGCATCTACCTTCTTAAGCTGTTTGGCCATCTCCGTTCTGACCTGGAGGCAGTTGGACATGGCCCTCGCCTTTTTCATGTGCATTCTCAATGGGATGTGCGCCACCATTCTCCCCTCCTTCTCCTCCTCGTCGTCCTCCTCCTCGTCCTCCCAGGTTCTGCCTTGGGGTCTCCGAGGAGAGGTCCTCGTCCTCCTCCTGCCCCACCACTTCTATCCCAGTATAGCTCACTCCTCCATGGCGCACCCCCGAGACGTGTCGGCAAGGCGGGCGCGACCTGTCACCTGAGATGTTCTCACCACGCATGTCCCTGAAGCTTGTAATTCGCAAGAGCTGCACAGATGGATGGGGGTAATTTTCACAATGGAGGTCTCGCAACAGCTCGAAGGATGGACGGCGGCTCCTTGTCAAGATGGGGGTATCGCTTCAGCGCTGCGCACATCCGTGCTGAAAGCTTGCAGCTGCTACAAAGTGGAGCGCGGCTTCCTTTCAACATGGAGCTATCGCTCTCGCGTCGTGCACGTTCGTCTTAAAAGGTACAAGCTCTCACACGGATGGAGAGCGAATCCTCTTCAACAAGGGACTATCTTATTGATGCCGCGCACATTCGTGTGGGATCTTTGCAACAGCTGCAATGATGGAGGGCGGCTCCTGTTTCACCACGGGGCTATCGCTCCAGCGCCGCGCCCATTCGCCTTAAAAGCTTGCAGCCGCTACAAGGATGGAAGACGGCTCTTTCAAAATTGGCTATCGCGTGGGACGCTCCTGAGTTTTTTCTAACAAAGAACATCCGATGTAGCAGCCGTTCTGATGGAGGGCTGTTTTGTTCAGAGTGGGTTTTGTTTGAGACCTCCTCGAAGTGCACGACCAGAGGTGCAAGCTTCTGCAACACACACGGCTGGGAGGGAGGGCTGTCCTGTTTTCAACAAAGAGGTAGCCGTCTACCTCGGTAAATCGCACGGACTCCTTCCGAGAGGGGAACGGGCGTTGCTATAAGCCTGGAGGAGGCGGCGCCCATCTCCACAGGGGAGGGGGGGAGGTCGGCCAGCGGGGCCAAGGCTCCCTCGGGCAGAGATGCTTTCAGCTGCCCTGGCCACGTCCGAATGAGGGGGCCGAACGTTCATGCACTGTGCCTGGGTGCGTGGCTGAAGTGGACTTCCGCGGTGCAGATTGGTGTTGTTGTTGTTGATGTTGCTGTTGTTGCTGCTGTTGCTGTTGCTTTTGTTGCTGCTGTTGCTGTTGCTGTTACTGTTGCTGTTGTTGTTGGTGGTGTTGTTGCTGTTGGTGTTGTCGGTGGAGGGTTACACTGGGTGCCCGTGCACCACCCACACCCACACACGCCCACACCCACGCCCACACCAACGCCCACACCCACACCCACGCCCACACCCACACCCACACCCATCGAAGACCTACCCACCGACGCCCAATTTCGGCACACCCCTCACCAGGATCGTGGCCCTGGCCCAAACACGGAGCTCTTCCGAAGGTCCCCGTGGCAGGGCCCGCATGCGTCCTCGGGCCCGATTCTGACACACCCCTCGCGAGGATCGTGGCTCTGGTCCCATCGGGAGCTCCACCGAGGGCCCATCGAAGCTTCATTTCGGCACACCCCTCACGAGAATCGTGGCCCTGGCCCCACGCGGAGCCCTTCCGAAGGTCCGCCACCCATCGGCGGCGAGCGAGGCGGGGAAGCGAGAAGGAGAAAAGGCCCTATGAAAAGGCGGCGGGACCTCTCAGAAGCCCTCGCGCGTTCTGAGAGGTCTTCTGTGTCTTCGGAGAATGCGTAAAAAACTTCTCAGGAGGCCGGGGGCCTCCCGAGCCTTCTGAGAAGGCCCGCCCGCTGTCACTTTCCCCCCTTCGCTCGCCGCCGAGGAAGACAGGGCGGGAGGACAAGGAGGGAAGGAGGGAGGAGGGCAGAGCAGGGAGAGGGGAGGCGGGAGGGGGAAAGTATGCAGGCGGGCACAGCGGAGGGGGAGGGGGGGAGCAGTGGAGGGGGACGGGTGCCAGGTTCGCTCGTCGGCCAGACGAAGGTCCAAGGTTCAAGGAGTTCCTCGGCACGTGCTGCCGCGGTGTTGCGTTGACGTTGGAGGTGGCGTTGTCTCTGCGAGGGGTCGTGGGCCAGGGCGCGAACGGCAGCTTTTGCCTCGGCAGCGGCAGCCGGTGGGCTGGGGCCAAGCCGAGTGCTCCAGTTGGCCTCGACAGGCACGGGGCCTAGGGTTCGATCTTGGTGATCGACCGAAGCCGCCAAGACTGGTCGCGGCGTGAGGGCGGGCTCCCAGGTGAGCCTGGTGGGGGCCGAAAGCCGGTGAGGTGCCGTGACGGAGGTGCGTGTGCGAAGACGTCGGTGTTGAGTGTGTTGTGCAAGGTACTTTGGCTTCTTGGGGGCTTATTGGAGGTCCCGTGGGGCCTCTCGGGGGCATCTTGGTGCCTATTGGGGGGCCTCCCTCTTCGGGCTGTCTGTCGGACGCTTGTGGTCGCACTTTCTAGCCTCCTCTTCCTCCGTCTCCGAATTTGTTAACAATGGAGAGGAAGGGAGACAGGGAGACAGAGATAGAGTGTGGAAGAGAGAGAGAGAGAGAGGGACAAAGAGAATGGGAAATAAATAGAGAGAGACAGAGAGAAAGAGAGGGTGAGGTTGTGAGAGAGTGGGAGCGAGAGAGTGAGACAGAGATTCAGACAGGCAGAGAGGCAGACAGACAGAGAGGCAGACAGACAGACAGACGGACGGACGGACGGACGGACGGACAGAAAGACAGAGAGAGAGACAGAGAGAGACAGAGAGAGAGAGAGATTGAAGAAAGACACGTGCGTGCGTGCGCACGAGCATGCGCAGCCCGCGTGCGGCGAGGTCGTGTTCCACCACCCCGGCCACCCCTACGACGATGCGAACAGGGCGCGGCTGCCGCCAGCACCAGCATGCTCGTGCCGTGCCGACGCGGTGGCGGCCCCCGCGCGGGCGTTCGGGGGCGCGGGCGTTCGGGGCTGAGCGCCGCCAACGGACCAGAGTCGGCCGATACCGAGCGATCCGCACTACACGCCGTCGTCGTCGTCGTCGTCGTCTTCGTCGCCGTCGCCGAGACAGTGTAGCCAACGCTCCCCCTCTGAGGAGACCGTCCTACTTCGAGCGCTTTCCTACTTCAAGAATCGATATGCTCCTGCTGTGGTTTGTTGTTTTCTGGGAGGGCCTGAACCCAACCTACTTGATCCGCCTTCCTAATTCATGCTTTTACCGACTTCTTCCGACCGACGGGTATCGGGAAGTTGCGACCTTTCAAGGTAGAGCGATCCACGCGGCATCGGGAGTCGGCGCCCAGGCGTCACGACACGAACTTCGCCGCAGCCAACAGCGTTCCCAGGATTTTGAATTGCGGCCGAGCTGGCTACGGTGAGGTCATTGGAAAAGGAACCACAAGGAGCCCAGGGTCCAGAAGCTGGCAAAACTAAAATCGTGGCTTGGCCATGGACGTTGGGGTCTGAGGCCTCCTTAGCACACTGTTCAACGGACGCCCCCACCGTAGCGAGGGCAGCGCGAGAACCGCGAGGGCTGGGCGACATGGTTGCCACGCGGGGGCCAGCGGCGCGCAGGAGGAAGAAACCCGAGGCCTTCCGAATTCCCAACCGTCCTGTGGTGGTGGGTCCTCTTTCTGAAGAGACAGCGCCCCGCTTTCTCACTCCTCCCGCTGTCCCCCTGCTTCTCCCTACTCTCCTCCCTTGCACCCCGAAATTACACGCTTCGTGGCCCCATAGGACGCTCCACCGACGGTTTCAGTGGCGCAGTTCGCATGCGGTTCACCCACCCAGTACAGCGCTTCGAGGCCCCATAGGGAACTCCACCGAAGGTCCCAGTGGCGCAGTTCGCAGGCGGTTCCCACGCCCAGTACAGCGCTTCGTGGCCCCATAGGGAGCTCCACCTAAGGTCTCAGTGGCGCAGTTCGCACGCGGTTCCCGTGCCCAGTACAGCGCTTCGTGGCCCCATAGGGTGCTCCACCGAAGGTCCCAGTGGCGCAGTTCGCATGCGGTTCCCCCACCCAGTACAGCCAGCGCTTCGGGGCCGCATAGGGAACTCCACCGAAGGTCCCAGTAGCGCAATTCGCATGCGGTTCCCCCGCCCAGTACAATTCTTCGTGGCCCCAGAGGGAGCTCCAAGGAAGGTCCCAGTGACGCAATTCGCATGCGGTTCACCCACCCAGTACAGCGCTTCGGGGCCCAATAGGGAACTCCACCGAAGGTCCTAATGGCGCAGTTCGCATGCGGTTCCCCCAACCAGTACAGCACTTCGTGGCCCCAGAGGGAGCTCCACAGAAGGTCCCAGAGGCGCAGCTTGCATGCGGTTCCCCCACCAAGCACAGCGCTTCGTGGCCCCATAGGGTGCTCCAACGAAGGTCCCAGTGGCGCAGTTCGCATGCGGTTCCCACGCCCAGTACAGCGCTGCGTGGCCCCAGAGGAAGCTCCACGGAAGGTCGCAGTGGCGCAGTTCGCATGCAGTTCCCCCGCCCAGTACAGCGCTTCGTGGCCCCACGGGGAGCTCCACAGAAGACGATACCCACAATTGCGGCACCCACAACTGCATATGGTTGGGTGGGTTCTTCGCCAGGCGGGTTGTTTTCTTTCTGTTCCACCCCCTTGACTTCCTCTCCTCCCTTGCCCCTCCTCCACATGCCCTCACCTCCCCTTCTCCTTGACTTTCCCCCATCCGCATCCTGCCATCAATCACCTCCCCTGCCCCTGCCCTTCCAATCCTGTTTTCCTTCTCCATCACTTTCCCTCCTCACCTTGCCCCCTCCCCTTCTTCTCACCACCGGCCCTCACCACGTCCGTTCCTCCACCTCCTTGTTCCTCCCCGCCCATCACCTCCACCCTTTCCCTCTACCATCTTCCTCCCCCTCCCTCTTCTTCTCCGCCCAGCAGTTCCATCCTCCCCGCCCATCATTATCCCACCCCCTCCGTCCTCCCCGCCCACCCCTCACCACCGTCCCTCCTCCACCTCTTCATCTCCGCTGATCGCCTCCACCGTGCTTCGACCACCTCGTCTTCGCCGTCCATCCCTCACCACCTTCTTCCTCCTTCCTCTCCATTTCCGTCCATCACGCGCACCCCTTTCCGCACATTCTTCGCACATTTCCCCCGCCCCCTCGCGTCGATCACTTCCATCCAGTCCGTATATCATCTTCCTACATCTACAGACCCTTCCCCGCCCATCACTTCTGCCCCGCCCGTCCATCACCTTCCTGCACCTCCCTCTCCCAGTCCGTCCACCACGGTCGCCTTATCCGTCCCTCACCTTTGAAGACTTCAGTTTGTCATGCTTTGCCTCCCCACCCATCCCTCAACACATTATTCCCTCCACTTCCTTTGCCTCTCCCTCGCGTTCCCTCGCCGCCTTGATTCCGTCCGACCCCCGTCACATAACTCACCACTGCCGCACAGCAAGACACGACCTCCGTCTGGGCGCACAGAACGGGGGGGGGACTTCAACGCGATTCTGCCACCATGTGTACATACACACCTATACATATATATATATGTGTGTGTATGTGTAGACATGAACTTACACATGTACATATACAAATACATAAACATTAACACAAAAATATTATCACACCTGTGCATGTACAAGCACGTGTGCATGTACATGTGCACGCACATGTACACACACATACATATAGATAAACATACCTAGACATAAACATAACATATACATATATGCATTGCCCCCTGGCCTGGCCCTTCCTGGGCCGTGGAGTTGTACAAACGCTTTCCTGGCCGAGCCAGGAGGGCGCGGCATATGCATTGTTGCTGGGTTCAGGATGGGCCTGGCCAGGGGGGCAGTGGATATGCATGGATTTCGTCGCCCTACCCCCCCCCCCATTACGCTACACCATCGTGTCCTCATCGTACTCTTCATCGTATTCATTTGCTTCATCACCGTCATCATCATCACCACGACGACGACGACCATCATCAGCGTCATCAGATTCATCATCAGCAGCATCATCAGCAGCATCACCATCATCATCATTGCCATCACCGTGAACCAGCAGACGGACATGCGGACTTCGTAGTACTGCCCAGCCAGTGCGATATTATATTCACACCTGCCTGTTCCCCGTTGGGGGCGCAGTCTTCCATCACACTGCCAACCACTCTACTTCTGGGCTGAAGTCGTGGCACGATCCCACAAATCACCATCGTCGACGGGGGAACCCCCCGCGCACGGCCCCGATCTGAGCTCGTTCTGGCTTGGCGGGCAGGACAGCAAGGGCTGGAAGGCGTGGCAGTCGCGCCAGCGCGCGTACTGTATGGCTCACTGTCACGACCCGTCCAGCGCCGAACGCACACAGCACGTACTACATGAGGCGTTCCAGCAAGGGCCTCGCCTTCGAGGATCGAAGCAGGTGGCACCTCTGCCTCAGCGGAAGGTCGGCGAAAGCTGGCGGAAGCATAACAAGGCGAAGTATCTCCGCCAGCGGACACCCGCGGCGGCTGGCGGAAGTAAAAGACGCGCCCCCAAGAAACATGCTTGGGTTCAGGGTTTCCGGAGCCCGCCTCTTCTATGGATGGCTTACCGATCTCTAAGTTAACGATCGCGCGTTTCTTGGGTGCCCGGGCCGAACTCTGTGTCAATAAGGCTTCAGGGGTTGGAGAGCAGTGGCGGTGGAAATATTACAAGTCTCACCCATATTCTTCGTGCACGTGGTGTACGCTCGTCTTCAATAATAGTATATGGGAACCGGCCTTTTGGACATCACGTTCATTGTCATGTTTCCCAAATGGCGTTTGCAGGCGACCGTCATCATGGCGCGCGAGTGCCCGGACCATCCACATTGGAAGACCCTTCCCATGTTCGGTTTGAAAGGCATTTGTCGGTGTAGCACCTCGCTGGAGGACTCGGCCTGTTGGAAGATAGCACCCGCGAGTGGCAACTGTGGCGCGAGGTGCGCAACCCCCTTGGAGACATACTACAATCTTTCGATGACACGCACGAGGGCGACGGTTGCCGGTGCGGTACTGTGGCAAGGCTTGCGCCCCCAGGTCGGGCTGGCGAGCGTTCACGAGCAATTGCATAGGCAGTTGCACCCAAGCACCAGCGTCGTCGAGACGATGGAGCCGGTATTATACAATGACGCGGGTAGGCAGGGCAGCGCGGAGACGCCGATGTCTTGCAACCCACTGCTGGTCAAGGTCATGTCGGCCCTGCACCCGCGGTGGTACGCCCTGCGACGGTGAACTTCAGCTGAGAAGATAATGTTTGACCACGTGCCGTAGTCGAGATCATCTGCAGTCTATGGTCAGAGGGCTGACTTCCGAACTCAACGCCATTCGCCTGTGGTGGAACCATGATTCCTTGTCACATATTCCAGCAAAGTGCGAGGTGATGAGGCCGGAGGCGGTTCAGATGCCCAACGGGGTCTCGAAGGAGGAAGCGCCAGTCGTCGAGGTGATGCAGGTATTCGGGGCCATGGTCTCAGCTCAGGGCTTGAGACACGATGCAGTTCTGATGCGGGTGTCGGTCGCCGGTCAAGCTTTCTGGGCCGACCAGGGCAGGGCTTCTGCGCAACAAAGTATCAATTTCGCAAAATGCTTCAAGCGATATCACAAGAGGATTGATCCAGTTGTTTTGTTCTACACATTTGTGTGAAAGATTTGCTCACCCAGAGGCCGTTTACCGTCGACGTGTTCTGGCGCCCGCTCAAAACAAGGGACATCGCAGCGACATGTTTCAAGCGAGTAGTTTGCAAGGCCCGTAGCCTTTGCCATATAACCGGTTTGGGAGTCATCATGTTCCGAGTGCTACGCTCCAAACGCAGGCCGCAAAATTATCCCGTAGTACCCCGAACGACCCACAGCGCGCACTGGTGGTTCGCGGACGTGGTTCGATGGATTATCACACATCGGACATGCCAACGTGCTCGTGGATTGCAGGTGAGTCCCAGAAATTTGAAAGTTCGACCGAAGCAATGAGATTGGTAGCGATGGAAATCTGGAATCAGAGAGGAACTGTATCCATGAGCGTGATGCTTGGACGATCTTCTGGCAAGCAGCGTACGACGCAGTTAGTTTGTAGCCGGCGAGGCTGCTGAAGCACTCCATGGGCTCCCCAGACCAACCACCGTCAAAGCGCGCCAATGCACGGATCAGCTGGGACCGCGATAGACAATTTCGCCTGGAGCTCGGGGGCAACAGTCCGATCTTTGCTCTTTTGGGCTGGGGCTCTGGATGTGTAAATCCTTTTGGCGCTCGCCTTCCGTGTGACAGATACAGGCCTCGCCCTTCAGACTGGAGGGAAGACGCCCGTTTTTCCTGCAAGCCCTCATCCCTCTTGTCTGCGTAGACACATGAACACGGCTCGACCTCAATTTGGGGCTTTCGTCCGGCCTTCCAAAGCAGTTCTGAACAAAGCAAAGCATTGATTGATTGGCAACGGTTGGCGTTGCTTTGCATTGCTCGGCGTTTCAGGGCATTGGAATATTTGTTTCGCGTTGCTTGCATTGCTTGCCACTGCTGGACATGTGTTGCATGCATTTTGCAGTAGGCATTGCCTTGCCTCGATCTGCATAAGTTAGAGAATCGCATGGAGTTGCATTGTCTGGTGTTTGTTTAGCATCGATTGGTATTGCTGGGCAGTGATTGAGCGAGAAATTCAGCAAGGGACCACGACAAAGGAACCGGAGGAAGGCAGCACGCAGCTAAGACCAAGGACCGCGAGCAACGCCGAGCGCCGCCTCTGCAAGGAACCAAGACCTAGGAACCCCAGCAACGCCGAGCGCCGCCTTTGGCGACGCCGCACCCACCAGTTGTTTCACAAAAAGTCTTCCGACGGAGGACCCCATATGAGAATCTTGAAACGAATCTGGAAGTATTGAGCTTCATCGTCGCCCCTGTGCGTGCAGATGCTCTCTTCCTGTCTCCTCATCGCCCTTCTCTTTTTCGCCTTGGCGGATGTCCTCTTCCCGCCCCCTGTTTTGCCTCCTCCTCCTCGCCCTCCTGCCTCTTCTTCCCCATCCACCTCTTCCCCCGCCCAACTAGCAAGGGCGCGCAAGTTGATTTTCCTCGGCGCCGTCGCCGCTACGGCCGGCAGGGACGCGTATTCCGATGGCCAGATCGCAAACCCGTTGGGGCAACCCTGCCGGCCAGGCCGTTGGGACAGCCCCGCGAGCCGGTGGGGCGCGGGAGCCAGCCGTTGGGATTTCTCCGCGGGCCTCGAATGGGGCGTCGCCGCGTTCAGACGGGAGGCAGCGCGAAGCCAAGCTCTCCCGCGAGCTGCTCCGCCTCAGCTTTGGAGTTCCCCGCTCTCGTGTCGAACTCCCCGAGCGCCTTCCACAGGGGCGTTGGCGGCCCACTTTCCAGAATCTCGCGCGAAGGCGGCCGCAGGATCAGCATGTTCCGCATGCGCGCGACGCGGGAGAATATGACGCAGAGGTGCGGCCACCACTGCTCGTCCGACATCCACGTGCGGCCAGCCTCCTCGTCTTTGACGCAGTACACGGTGACGCCCTTGCGCAGCGTCTGGCCCTGCGACGGCGTGGAGGTGAAACTCAATGCGCTGGCCAGGGTGGACCGCGAGCGGCGCACAACGCGGGATCCGATGGTGATGATGGCCGCCGACCATGGCGGGATGGATGATGAAGATGACGGGGTGGTGATGATAGTGACGACGATGGTGACGATGACCCTCATGTGTGTGAAAAGACAAGAGCATGAGAGGCGCGCGCGCGAGGAGGACTGCGCGGGGTGTCCAAACAGAACAGTACCCCATTCAGGATGTATGGCACAAAAGCGAATCGTTCAGGCAAGGCCGACTAGAGAAACGACCGTCATCATCACCGCAGGCATCTTCCATTACAAGGGGCGAGGAGCACGGTGAGTGAGAAGAGGAGGTGAGATGCGGGCGGACGAAGTATTAGGGGATGAGCAGGCGGAGGATGATTTGAAAAACCAAGCGCACGTATAATGTGTATGGTCCAGTTGTCTGTTCGGTCCATCGGTTGCGGATCTGCTTTGTGGGCGCGTTAGCGAATGTCCGAAGTCTTTCCCGGTGTTCGATGCCAGCGACCGTCAGGCTTGCAACCACGACGCGTAGCGCAGAGGGGAGAAAAACAAATGTAAACAAGGAAAAGGAGGACGTTTCCGAAGTTGCTCGAAGGCGTCAGATAGGTTTCCGGCGGTTTTCGAACGCTTTTTGAAAATTCTGGACGGGCGGGGCGGCCGAGGACGAGGAAAGGGGGAGGAGCAGGAGGAGGAGGACAAGGAGGAGGAGGAGGAGGAGGTCGTGTGGCCAGCTTGTGATGCCGCTCCTCTAGGCCATGACGCCCGCTACCCTGAGGGAGGTGTTCGTCCACCGAGACGACCAGTCGGATGGCGACGATCACCACAATCGAGGCGGCACGCGTCATGGCGGAGGCATTTGATACATGATGGAGGGAAGAGCCCTTGCGGCACGGACTGTCGCAGACCAGCCCTTCTAGTCAATCCTGATGTTTAATCTGGCAGATAGGCACAGAGAGCGAGGGACAAAAGCAATATGACTTGAGTACATCTGGACACAAACCAACCAATACGTCCCAGAGTTCCTTGTTGCTCTTATTTTCTTCCGTAAAAAAAAACAAATGCTAGCCAGGGCGAACCGCAAACAGTGCGTCTCTAGCAATATATGTGGTGCTGTCAGTGCTGTCTATGTGGTGCAACCGATGTGGAGCAAACGATGTGGTGCAATCTATGTGGTACAATATATGTAGTGCAGTTCATGCTGTGCAAGTTATGTCGCGCAATCTACGATGCGCCGAACATGTTGTCCAACCCATGTGGTGCAAGATCTATATATATATATACATATATATATATATGGTGCAACCTGCGTTGTCCAATCGAATTTGAGCAACAGGCGTGGTGCAACCTAGATGGTGCATTCTATGTGGTGCACTCTAGGTTGCGCAATCTATAATATGCAATATATGAAGCGCGATCTACGTAGTGCAATCTATGTAGTGCAAGATATGCGGTGCCTACGATGTGGTGCAAATTATGTTCTGCAATATATGTTGTGCTACCTATGTGGTTCAATCAATGTGGTGCAGTATATGTGGTGCAGTCTGTCCTGCGCACTTTACGTGGAGCAATCTACGAGGGGCAGTATACGTGGAGCAATCCAACGGCGGCGACAAGGCGGCCGCGGGGCGGCGACGACGACAACATAGCCACCAGACCGCCACACTATCCCAGACGACGGGCGGCGATGGGGCGGGGCGGGGCCAACGACAACATAGCCGCCAGACCGTCACACCGGCTCAGACGACGGGCGGCGACAAGGTGGCGACGGGGCGGCGATGGCGACAACATAGCCGCCAGACCGCCACCCCGGCCCAGACGAGGGGCGGCGACGAGGCAGAGGCGGGGCGGCGACGGCGACAACATAGCCGCCAGACCGCCACACCGGCCTAGGTCCTGAGTGGAGAAGTAAGAACCTTTACGTGCAAGCACTGCTTGGGACAATACAACAGTAAGCCATAGAAAGACACTGGAAAACAGAAATCAGCAAGAAACCGTGACCGAAAGAAGCAATGACGAATCTTCAGGTGTGTACAGGACACCAATACGTTGAAGCAGGGTACAATAACATCAAGGAAAAGTTGCGGAATGAAACAACCAAATTAAGATAACAGGGCGCTAAGAAGCCGGTGCAATTGTTGGCCCAATAGGGCGCCAGGACGGCCCCATGAGGCACCCAAGACGGAACCAACATGTCCCAAAGAGGCCCCCATGGGGGCAGCAGTTTACATGGAAACCCAGGAAAGGGGAGAAATCTAGAGCCCTTGAGGGCAGCAATTCCCCTCCCGTATCATAGCATGCTCTGATTAAATGTGCTCTTTTGTTTCGTCGTCGTCATCTCGTCGGTCGCTCCCGTGAACATCGTGAACGTGTCGGCTTGTTTCCGTTGCACTTCACGCTGCCAGCGTTGCGACCAGAACGCGCACGCCAAGCGCGCGGGCTCGCAAGAATCGCGCATCGAATTATCAGCGCTGCCAGCAGGAATCCCACTTCGAGCGTGCCTGCTCACACGGTGGAGCTCGTCGCACTGCCAAGGATTTTGCCAGGAAGCTCAGTCCAAGCGTCCCAGTTCGCTTGCGGCGATCATCCCGCTGCCAACGTTCATTTTTCTCGGCGAGGCCCGTCGAGGAGCATATCAGATCATTTCGCGAGAAGAAGAGGCACGAAGCCGAAAAATGCACAGCGAATGGAGGTCCGAGCGATGGCAAGCAGCGCGTCTGCCCCACACGGTGTTTGCAATTACGGGTTCTTGCTCGTGTTGCTCCAGGTGCTTCGTTGGGCGTGCAGTGTTTATCGGCTGGTGCCCGGCTGGCGGCGCCCGTGGGCGCATCGGGGGCGCCTCGCGGTTGGGCGGCTGGGAGGCGGCTTCGCCTGGCACCCGCCCGTGGGCGCCTCGTGCGCCGTGTGGGCGTGCCGAGGTTCTGCCTGGTGCACGCCCGTGGAGGTATCGCTCTTCAGGCTCGTGTTAGGGTTACGGTGCCGTTTTCAATGCATGCTCCGCGTGCGGATCGTGTGTTCAAAATGCAGGGATGTAGTATTAAAAACAACGATGAGGTCATGCATGAATTGATTCATACAGCATCCCAGTGCGACCCTACCTAGGAGTTGGAGCCTCTAAGAAAGCAACATTAGTAGGAGCGGTAAACGCCGTCCTCCTCCTTCTCATCGTCGTAGTTGTAGCGGTAGTAATAGTAGTAGTAGTAGTAGTAGTAGTAGTAGTAGTAGTAGTAGTAGTAGTAGTAGTAGTAGTAGTAGTAGTAGTAGTAGTAGTAGTAGTAGTAGTTGTAGTTGTAGTTGTAGTAGTGTAGTTGTAGTTAGTAGTAGTAGTAGTAGTAGTAGTAGTAGTAGTAGTAGTAGTAGTAGTAGTAGTAGTAGTAGTAGTAGTAGTAGTAGTAGTAGTAGTAGTAGTAGTAGTAGTAGTAGTAGTAGTAGTGGTGGTGGTGGTAGTAGTAGTAGTAGTAGCAGTAGTAGTAGTAGTAGTAGCAGTAGTAGTAGTAGTAGTAGTAGTAGTAGTAGTGGTAACGCCAGAACCGCCGACGCCACGCTGTGCTGCGCTATGCTATGCTATGCTATGCTCTCCTCTGCTATGCTATGCTAATGCTATGCTATGCTATGCTATGCTGCGCAATGCTATGCTGCGCTATGCTATGCTGCGCTATGCTATGCTATGATATGCTATGTTATGCTATGCTTGTGCTTGGCCTTCGCTTTTGCCTTCACTTTTGCCTTTGCTTTTGCTTTTGCTTGGCACCCAGGGAGCGCAACTGGGGGAACCGCGCGTTTGCTTTTACCTTTGCTGTTGTTTTTGCTTGGCTCCCAGGGGACTGGGGGAACCGCCCGGGGCGATTTCCATTGCCCGGCCCCTTTAAGCAAAGAAAGTAAGAACCCTTCTAGGCAGAGCCTAGGTAGGGAATTAATCATGTATTAGATTTAAAAACTGCCCTGTACGGTGAGTGGGGCCAGGTTGAGGGTCATGGTTAAGGGCACCTCCTCCGGAGCCGAAACAGCCCGTTGGTTTCGGCCTCGTCCGATCGTTTCGTCCCGACCCATTTCGGCTTCGGCCCGTGTCGTCCTGGCCCGTTTTGGCTCTGGCCCGTTTCGTCCAGGCCCGTTTCGGTCTCGAACCGTTTCGGCTTCGGCCAGGTTCGTTTTTCAGGTTCGCGCTCGCACTGGGGCCAAGAAGCCGAAACGGGTCGAAGCCGAACCCGCTTGAAACCGAAACGGGCGGAGCCGAAACAGGCCGAAACCGAAACGAGCTGAAGCCAAAACGGGCGGAGCCGAAACGAGCCGAGGCGAAACGCGACGAAACCGAAACGGGCTGAGGCCGAAACGGACCGAAGCCGAAACGGGCCTGAAACCGAATCGGGTTCTTGTCAACACACGTTGCACAATATATGTTGCGCAACGTTGTGGAATAATATATTGGGTGTTTCTATGTGGTGCAAGTAACTTTGGTTCGCAGTGAGTTGCCAACTCCACTGCTCGCGCAACCATCCCACCCACCCACACGCAACATGGTTTGCAAAGTCAATACGGCGACGATTGCGATGACTGCTTGGCGCTGGCTTGCGCATCGCTGCGGCCGCGCTAGCGCGCGAAAGCTCGCGCGCAGAGAGGCCAGCACGTCTCGCGGGCCGCGCTGACGCGCGGGCAGTTCAGTGCGAGTCGGTGACTCGTGCGGACACGGTACATGGTGACGTCGACAAAGACACGATGATGGTAGCAGCGATGATGGTGACGATGATGACGATAAGGACGGCAAGGTCAATGACGGCGCCGATGTTGGCCACGCCGCTGGCGATAATGATGTCCACGCGTCGGCGATGAAGGTTTTGGCAAGATTTCGACATGCGCGCGCGGCCGACGCGCGCGAGTGACCCACATATTACTATTTGGACTGATCGCCCCCCTCCACCCCCCACCCCCCCTGCAAGCGCGCAAGAGCGTCCGAATAATTTGGACATGCGCGCGCGGGGGGGGCGCATGGTCTGAGTCGACCGAAATGTCGAACAAGACCGATGGGTTTTATACGAAACCACAAGAGCGCGCGACGATTTTTGTGTTGGGACAGACTCATATGTCAAACCCATGTGGTCTTTATGTATTCGGGGACATCGGCTTTAAAATCCATACGACCTCATGTTGGTTGAAGGATTTCGGCACGCGCGCGCGACACCGCGCGAGTGTGGATGTTGTCCCGTCTGTTGCAAAGGGTTTTTTCTCGAAGTGGATGATCTGTGCTGAGCAAGTGCGCGCGCATTGAATCATTTGACAGGGATGAAAGGGGGCGGTTGAAGGGGACCAATTGGGATGGTACGAGTGCATGTTTAAGATGAACGGTGGGGCAAAATCACGCGTTAAGTGCTTGATTCCTAGGGGGAACCATAAACGTACGGGGGTGTAGGCCCGAATTTCTTTGTAGAAGGGGGATCGTTGTTGTGCAAGCTATGTGGTGCAACCTAGGCTGTCTTTTCTAGGCGGCGACGGGGCGGCGACGGCGAGCACGGAGGCACCAGACCGCCACCCAGGCCCAGACGACGGGCGGCGACGAGTGGCGGCGGCGAGCACGAACGCGCGAGACCGCCACCCAGGCCCAGATGACGGGCGGCGACGAGGCGGCGACGGGGCGGCGACGGCGAGCACGGAGCCGCCAGACCGCCACCACCCAGCCCCAGCTCCGTTGAGCAGAAGCCAGAAACCTTAACCAGCATTGTTTGATGAGCTTCTACAGTATCAAAAGCTTATACAAATCCTGCGGTACTCGAGACATTGCGACTTAGCCGAATGCATTGCGTTGAGTGTTGGCTTTGTTCGGTGATTGGAGTTCGATGGAACCACGAATGCTATTGCACGCCTTCTCAAGCGGAAATATTGCTGCAGGTTCTCATTTAAGGTGTTGGACGTTTCGGGGAACTCATCGAAGAATCGCAGCCCCCTGCTTTTCGGAGACGCATGTGTCGTCAAATGTCCAGCGAAAGGGCGGCCCCGCTAGTGAACTGCGTGTTTCCCCAAATGTTGAGGCTCCCTGGGGCCATTTTGGGCTTGTCCTGGAGTTCTTTTCTGTCCTTTGTGGCCGTTTAGGGGCCTCGTGCAGCCCTCTTGGGCCATCTTGGCTCGGGGTTCTTTGGGGCCGTCTTATTACGTTCTTGGGAGACTCTCTCAGCCTTGTTGGGGCCCCCTTGGGGCAGCCTAGGGCGGTCTTGGGACCCTCTTTGGCCGTCTGGAGGTCGTCTGGTGGTCTTGGGGGTATATTGGGCCTTCTTGGACGCATTCAAAACCGAAAATACGATGATCCGAAAACAGATGAAACAACAAATGAAAAATATGAGCTTCAACGATTTGGACATATCGGGCCCGCACCAAGGGCCCCCGGGACGGCTCAAAAGATCCCCAACAGAGAGTGTTAGACCCTCTTAAAGTCATCTTGGCCGTCTCCGGAGCGTCTTGGAGGGCATGTTGGACCGTCTTGGGCCCGTCTTGGAGGTCATCCAGGAGGGACTGGAGGCGGGCGGTGCGCAGGTTCTGGTTGGAAGCTGTTTTTCCCACGGGGCTCGGGCTGAGCTGGAGGCCGTTGGGAACATGCTGGAAGGGCCAACCAGAGCCATCCGCCTCCCCCTGCTGCTGCTCCCCCCCCTTCCTCAGCCTAACCCTCCCGCTCACCTGCCCCGCGGCCTTTTGCCGCCGCCACTCGCCGCAGCGGACTTGGAGGCAGGGCCGCCCCCCTCTTGGCGAGCGAGCTCCTGCTACCCCCCTCTCCGGAGGCTGCGCGTCGAGTAACAAACGATGGCATAGACAAAAGCTTTCGGAGGTCCGCGCTGATTCCTCGGATCGGCGCTGGACCCCCCTCCCTGGCGCGCGGCGCGCGCCAGGGCTCCGGCGCCGACCCGAGAAATCAGCGCGGACCTCAGAGAGTCCGTGTCTGTGCCATGTCTTTGTTTCCCAGTGATCCCCGCCCTGCTCCGAAGGCTGTGCGGGCCCGGCCGCGGGCCAGGCTGCGGGTCGTCTGAGCAGCCGCGCCGGCCTGCCCATGCGGGCAGCGGGCGACCTGGGAGGGGGGGCTGGGTCGGGCGGGGAGGAGGGGGAGGGGGAGGGGGATGAGGAGGAGGAGGAGGAGGAGGACAAGCTAGGTGCGCTCGCGTCAGATCTGACGTCCTACCCATCCCTCCCATCCATTACCATGGCGTAGATATCCTCTCGATTCGCACATTCGGATGCCGAGCTACGCGATGCATGGTAGAGCAAGGCATGGCATGGCATAGAAAGGCACGGCAGAGGGTAGCATGCCATAGCATGGCGTGGCATTGCGCAGTGAAGCATTGCATCACAAAGCATTGCAACGCAACGCATGGCATCGCACAGCGGCGCAGAACACAACACCGCACAGCATGTCATGGCATGGCACCGGGTTCCTTGGAGGATAAGTGGATCGTCTTCGAGAGGTCTGGGCCAGTCTGGAGTCGTGGCTCCATGTCTAGCTCCGTGGGCCCCCCGAAAAGCTCCGCACAAGGCAGGGCTGCTGGAAAGCACCCGCTGGCTCTGCTTTCAACATCGCCTTCTCAAAGCAGAGACGGGGCTCCCGTTTGATACTTCCTGAAAGCGACGACGCCCCCAAAATAAAATGGGGGTGCCGGCCCAAAAAAGTTAACGAATCGACACCGAATGTGGAATCATTTATGATGGTTCTTTCGGGGGCGCATTTTCTAGATTTCGGGGCCTATTCGGAAGGACCGAAAACGCCCGCGCTGCAGCGGGAACACGATCTGGAACAACCAGAGGCGTAGAAATGGGGCCAGCGCTTCAACGGGAGCAACATTTTGGATAAACACAAGCGAAAACCATTTCCTGGGTATCATGTTTGTAGAAACAGTACGCGGAGGGAGGCCGGACATCTTCTGGACGTCATCAGGGGAGAGAGGAGAGTAGTTTTCAGAGTGTGTAATTGTGGAGGAGGAGGAGGAGGAGGAGGAAGAGGAGGAAGAGGAGGACGGGGACAAATCGCTCCAGAGCGCTCTGGAACGATTTCAGAGCGTACGGAAGCGCTGTGGATCGGCCGCGGCGCCCTCCCTAGACATCCGGCGCCCCGAAAAAAGTCGAGGCATCGGTTTTGCATCGCTTCCAGTCTTAAGTGGCCCTCACTGGGCCTCGGGGCCGTCAAAAACTACCCGATGATCAAAAACCGGCCCCAGGGAAGTGGTCGAGAGGTCGGGGGCTTGTGCCACGAAAAAGTCGAGACGCCCGTGGATGCCTAGGTCTACATCCTCCAGAACCGCCAGGTCTCAGAGATCCCCGATGCAGCCTGGTCCGATTTCGTCGTGGTCCTGGCTTCGTCTTACTGGGGATCTCGCGCCTCATTCGGTATGGTCGATTCGATCCTCCTCCTCCTCCTCCTCCGGAATCTTCCGCAGGCGGCTTTCGACTCACGCACCTCCGCGAGGTGCTGGGCGACTCACAGGCCGCGGCGGCAAGCGCGAGGACTCCGCCGATGGGGGGGCAGGGGGGGGCACTGCGCTGGCGTGGACCTCCAGGGGCAGACGGGAACATCCGAGGTGGAGGTCCCCGCACGGCGCGCTCCGGAGAGCCGGAGAGGGCATCGCCTTCGGCGCGTCTCGCCCTCGGCGGAGGCCGGCGGAAGCGAAGCGGCAGCGGGTTCGCCAGCGAAAGTTCGGCGGAAAGCGGCGGAGGTCGAATTGAGACGTCAAGTGGTTGGGGTTCAGGATGTCTGGAGTCGGCCATACGCGAACCGATCTTCTGGCGTGTTCTTTTCTGAGGGCCAACTATGCGGTTGAGTATGAGTGAGTTAACGTATGGGCGCCGGGGTGCGCAAAAGTGTGGGACAGGTGAGCTTGAGCACGTGTGGCTGAATATCAAGAACTATGGGTAAGGGTGGGCTTGAACGTGACTGGATCGAATCATGAGTAAGTCTGGACATTAGTGATGTAAATTTGGGGACATTTGGAGGTACATTATTTGAGGCCCTCTTGGGAAACTCTTGGGGCCCTCTTGGGTGCTTTGGCGGCGCTCTTGGATTGCTCGTGGGGCTGCCTTGGAGCCCTTGTGGCGCTTTCTTCTGCCATATTAGACCCAAGTTGAGGCCGTGGACGGAAGCCCATTGGAAGAGAAAAGGCAAGAATACAAAAAAGCATGTGTTCCCCAGTGGTTGGGAAAGGATTTGGGCCTCCTCGGGTGCGTCCTTGGGAGGCTTCGTGGCCGCTTGGAGCGATTTTGCAGCGGTCTCGGGGTCTTTCGAACGCATATTAGCAGTTTTCTTGAACCATATTGGGATATGTGGTCCAGGGCTCACCCCCCCCCTGGCTGGATATGTACGCCCGTGAGCTTCGCGAAGGCCTCGCGAGTGGGATCGCCCACCCGCCCACCCTGTGTTCGTGGCCCTGTGGGCGTGGCGTGGTGGAGGGTGGACGTCGTCGTCGTCGTCGTCGCCTGTAGAACCCTGGGACCCATCCCATCTGGGGGGCGGGGGGGGCCTGTGAACCCTCGACCCAGGATCATACACTGTGTGATATTGGACGCGATATTGGGCTAGCGAGGCCATATGTTCAACGCTTCGCGTATTTCCACCAGGTTGCCCCCCTGCTTGGTTCTTTATCTTCCGCGTTCGTCCTCCTTCTGTTCGCCCCCCTCCCGTGCGCTAATTTAGGCTTAAGTTTCTGCGCTGCGTTCCTTTACGCCACCCGACCTGTCTCGCCGCGGTCGCGATCAAAAAAGATATCCCCACCAGCCCCCTCGGCGCTCTAAACCCGTCTCTGGCCGCGAGGTCTCAGCCGTGTCTGCTCCCCACGGCACTCGCCCAGCGGCCGTTGCTCAACACAAGGCGCCGTCGGGACCTCTCTTTTGCCGCATGGCTGTCGCGGGCCATCCCTCTCGGTCCCCCGCCTGCCCTCTGCTGCCCCTCCGCCCAGGCCTTCCAGCTCCTCGGCGCGCGGCCGGAGGCACCCCCTGGCCTGGGGTGCTGACCTCCTGGTCTCCCCCACCGTGCGGGTCTCTCCCCGGTAGTCCCCAATCGGGGCCCCCCCAGTCACCAATCTCGCGACCGTTGGTCGCTCTTCGTCCGCCCCTGGCGCGACTCCCCCCAGCGGGCGCGAGTACTCTCGCCAGTCCCCGGCGCCTGCGCGGCCCGCCCTCGGGCTCTTTTCCTTTCTTGCGACCGTTAGTCGCTCTTCGTCCGCCCCTGGCGCGACTCCCTCCTGCGAGTGCCGGCACCTTCGCCAGTCCCCGGCGCCCACGCGGCCTCCCCTGGGTCCCTTTCCCCTTACGCCTGCCTCGCCCAGCGCCCGCCCTCACCGCGGCCCCTCCGGTGGCCGCTCTGGCCTCGTGCCCAATACCGCCAGGCGCGCGTCCAGCTGGGGCTTTCGGCGCGCGTCAGGCCTCCCAGTGCGCCCTTGGCACTGGGTTTTTGTGGCCCTTCGCTTCGCGGTGCTGGGCCACCCCCCCTGCGCCTCGCCCAGCGTGGGTCGCTCGGGGTCCCCCTCGGCGCTACGCCCCGGTTCTGGCTCGGGGGCTCTGGAGAGTCCGAGGCGTCTCGCTGCCGTGGCCTTCTCCCCACGGCGCCCCGCCCGGCGGCCCTTGCTCTGCTCAAGGCGCCGCCTGGGCTCCTCCTTGCCGCACGGTGGCGCGGGCCGTCCCTCTCGGTTGTCCGCCCGCCCTCGGCTGCGACTCTGGCTCTGCCTGCCGGCCCTCCTGCCAGCGGCCCACGGCCTCCCTCCCCGGCGTGGGGTTGGCGGACTTTTCGGTCCTTCCCCACCGCGCGGGCTCCTCCCTGGTGGTCCCCATGCTGGGTCCCCTCGCCTTCTTGGTGGCGCGCGCCAGCCTGCACCTGTCCTGACGGTGTCCTGTCCTCGACACCTGTCCTGACGGTGTCTGGCGATCCGGATTGGTCCGTTGAGCGCCCGCATGGCGCTGTTCGATGCCTACTGGGGCGTGGACACGGCCACCACTTGCTTCCGCAGTACCATGATCTTGGCGCTGGATCCGCTGTGTATTTTGCCGGTGGTCTTCATCCTCTGCATGTTCGTGGTGTCGTACAACTTGAATTCCGCCACTTGGGTGTTGCAGTTCGCCTGGGAGGTCTTCCTGGACGTTAGCACCCTTCTCTTCTCTCGAGCGGCAGCGAGGCACGCCTCCTGTTTGTTCCTCTCCCCGCTTTCCTTCCGTTCCTTTATTGTCTTCTCCCGGTGCGCTTAATTCAGGCCGCCGTTTGCTCGTTGCGCCTCTGACGCCGCCCGACTTCCCTCGACACGGCTGCGATCAAAAAGTATCCCCGCCAGCCCCCATCCAGGCACGATACCCGGCGGAGCTGCCCTGAACTTCTAAAGGTCTTTTGGGGCGTCTTGGGGCCTATTGTCGTCTCTTGGGAGGCCCCTTGGAGCGTCTTGGGCGCCTCTGGGAGGCATCTTGGGGCGCCCGCACATCACGTCTTTAATCCCACAAATTCGCAAGTGTCATGATCGTTGGGTTCCCCAGGCCTGCTGATGGAGGAAGTTTCGAACGGGGGCGTCGACTGTGAGTGAATCGCGAGAAGTCTCGACCGGGAGCACCTCCCTATCGGGCCCCCGCATCCACATTCGAGTCCGAGCGGATCATCCGCATCTTGTCATTGTCGTCGATTCTGGGCTCCTCAGATTTGAAACGAAAGGAAATAGCTCGAGTGGTGGTATCATACGCGAGTGGATCGCGAAGAATTCTCGAGCGGGAGACCCTCCGTGTGTGGTCCCCACTCCCCGTTCGTCAAGAGGGCTGCGAGCTCCACGGCAGAGGCGGAGCTCGTGGCAGAGCCAGGTTTCGCGTTGCTTCCAATCTGACCGCGGCGGCGCCCAGCTCGAGGCCTGCAGGGGTGTCCCGACGGTTTGCTCCCGCGCCCCAGGGGCCACGGCGGTGTCCCAACGATGTTGCCTGCAGAGTTGCCCCAGCGGCGTCGCTATCAGGTCTTCGGAGAACGCGTTCATGCTGGCCGTGGCGGCGAGGGCGCCGAGGAAAATCGGCATGCGTGACCCGGCCAAAGGCAAGGAGAGGTGCATGGGGAGAGCAGACGGGATGCACAGGGAGAAGGAAGAGGAGTTGGACTAGGAATAGGAAGGACGAGGAGGAGGAGGAGGAGAAGGAGAAGACAGGGGGAGGATGGAAGCGCAGAAGGAGGAGGAGGAGGAGGAGGAGGAGGCAGGCAGGAGGATGAGGCAGCAGGACAAGCAGAAAGGAGGGGGTAGGAGAAGGGAGCAGGAGGATATCCCCAGCCAAATTGAAAACATTATCACGCGGGGTCCGACCGTCGGAATAATGTGTTGTTGGGGTTTTGTACATCCCAGGGGGTCATCCTCAAATTCGTACTTGTCGTCACGGCTGGGTTCCCCATGCTTGAACATGGAGGACGTTTCGAGCGGGGGCCTCGAGCGTGAGTGACTTGCGAAGAAGCCGCAGGCAGGAGCACCTCCATATGGAGACCGCACGTCCTGTTGATATATATATATATACATATATATACATATAAGTGTGTATATATACATATATATACATATATATATATATATATAGAGAGAGAGCACAAAACAAAAACAATCCTCAGGCATGTAAGCGTCGTCCTATCTGGGTTCCCCAGCCTTGAATCCAGAGGAAGTCTCAAGCAGGAGCCTTGTCTCTCAGTGAATCGCGTGGAAGGTTCGACCGGGAACCCTTCCCGATGGGGTCCCCACTTCCACGTTCGAATTCGAGCGGGTCCTCTGAAATCGTAAATGTCTTAATTTTGGTGTGCTTGGGGCCTGCATATGAAGGAAATCTCGAGCGGGGGCGTCGTCGGTGACTGAATCGCGAGGACGTTTCGAGCGGGAGTCCTTCCCCATGGGATCCCCACCTCCACATGCGAATCCAAGCGGAGCATCCGAATCCTGTATCTGTCGTCACTTTTGGTCCCTTCAGATTTGAATACAGAAGAAATCTTGAGCGGGGGGCATCGCCTGCAAACGAATCGCGGGAAGTCTCTTGCGGGAGACCTTCCTTATGGGGTCCCTATTTCCACGTTCGACAAGAGGGCTGCGAGCTCCCCGGCGGAGGCGGAGGTCGTGGCAGAGCCAGGTTTCGCGGTGCCTCCCGCCTGGGCGCGGTTGCGCCCAGTTCGAGGCTTGCGGGGTTGTCCTGACGGCTTGCGACGAAAGCCGACATGCGTGCCCTGGACAGAAGGTGAATGAGGAGAACAGGCGGGATGGAGAGGCAGGAGGAAGAGGAGGAGGCAGGAGGTGGAGGAGTAACAGTAGAAGGACGAGGAAGAGGAGGAGGAGGAGGACGACGAGGAATAGGAGGAGGCATGAGGAGGAGGAGGAGGAAGAGGAGGACCAAAGAGTCACCAACGATGTTGGAGTAAACCCTTCCTCAAAGTTCCTTCTTCAATGATGGAAGTGCCTCGTTGGAAGACACCCGTTTGAACATTTTGAAGCATGCCAAAACATTATTTTCAGTATTCCAACGACAGGGAACAACCTGATTGTTGCGTATTGACGGTCCTGAATCGTGCCAGAGCGCAGTTCCTAGGATTTCAAAACAGAGAACCAACGTAACTGTTGCACCCGCACAATCCTAAATCATTCCAAAACACCGTTTCTGGTACGCTGACGATGGGAGTCTGCGAAACTCTTGAAAGTTGTGTACACGAATGTTCGCGGCACTAAGGCGAGAGCCACAGTTCGAAAACCACCCGCCTTCAATCCGTGAAATTGCTGCAAAGGTTTAAAACGAATGTGCGCAGCGCTCAGGCGAGAGCCACATATTGAAAACGACTCGCCCTCAATCCGTGAAACTGTTGCAAGTGTTCGCGGCGTTTAGGCAACAGCCACATTTTGATAACCACCCGCTCTCAATCCGCGAGACGATTGCAAACGTTTAAAACGACTGTGCACCGCGCTCAGGCGAGAGCCACATGTTGAAAACGGCCCACCCTCAATCTGTGAAACTATTGCAAATGTGTACAACGAATGCGCCCGGCGCTAAGGCTAGAGCCGAATGTCAAAAAACGGCCCGCCCTCCATCTCTGCAACGGTTGCCAACGCTTAAGCGTCGAAGGCATAAATGGTGAGGAAGTCGCAGGCGAAACGCCCGGCCCGCACTAAAAACAGGCCTCGGGGTGCGACAGGGAGAAGTTAGTCATAAGGAAAAGGAATGGAGGCAGGAAGATGAGGCAGCAGAAAAAGAAGAAGACAGGAGCGGGCAGGAGGAGGGAACAAGAGGAGATCCCCAGTAAAGCTGACAACATTATCGTGCGGGGTCCTTCCGTCGGAGTAATTATCAACCCCAGGGAGTCATTCGAAATTCCAACCAGTCGTCACTTCTGAGCTCCTGGAGCTTGAATCTTCAGGAATTCTAAGGCGAGGGCATTGTTTGTGAGTGAATTGCGAGGATGTATTAGACGGGAGCCCCTTCCCGATGGGGCCCGCACCTCATGCATCTAATTCCCCCGGAGTCACTGGACACATGTAATTGTCGTGACTGTTGGGCCCCTGAGGTTTTTGAATCTTCAGGAAGTCTCAGGCGGGGGCCTTGTTTGTGAGTGAACCATTGGAAAGTCTCAAGCGGGAGCCCCCCCCCCGTTACGGGGCCCGCATTTCATGTGCTCAATCCTAAGAGGTCGTTCGCAACTTTTGTTTGTCGTCGCTATTAAGTTCCTGGGGCCTGAATATTGGGGAAGTCTCAGGCGGGAGCCTTGTTTATGGGTGAATTGCGAGGAAGTCTCAGACGGGCGCCCCCTCCCTATGGGGCCCGCGTGTCATATGCTTAATTCCCGGGGGTCAACTTTTGAGACCCTGAGCATTGAGTATGGAAGAAGATTTGAGCGGGAGCCTCATTTGTGAGTGCCGTGTAAGGAAGTCTAAAGCGGGAGCCACCACCCCCATGGGGCGCGCACCCCATGTATTTAATCCCAGGGATGGGACGGAAAGGAGGTTTGGATCATTTTCAGATAAGCTCGGGAGATGCTCATGCGGGGTCCTACCGTAGGAGTAAGTTCCAAGAGACCCCCCCCGTCCCTGTCAAAAACCATTCAAACTGATCGCGGGGCGTCCGCGCATGATTCAGATGTTGGTACAAAGTGCATTTCGCAGCGCATGTTTGCAAGGAAGGCGGGGTGGGGTCGGCATTGGCTCGGGTTTGTCGCTGGTCGGGTGAGGGAGGGGGCGTACGTGAGTAAGGACCTGTGATAAGCCCTTCCCCGAGGGGGAAGAGGGGGGGAATGGGAAATGAAGCGCCTCAAACCGTCTCAGCCCATAGGGCCGGTGGGATTGGAGCCCCCTTTTTTGGCCAAACCAGACCCTCCAGCACCCTGCGGGGAGGCCCGTCCGGACCGAGAGGAGCTGGCAGGGGGAGGATTAGTCACACGGTCCCCCGCCCCCCGGAAGGACGGCCGTCTCGCTCACTGAAGCCTCGAGACGGGGGTCAGTGCAGACGGGGGTCAGCCAGACTGCCGGATCTTGCAGGATCCCGCAGCACCAGGGTCGCATTGACCCGGGTCTGGGTGCAGGATGCTGCAGGATCTTGCAGAATCCTTCGCACTGACCCAGGTTTGGGTGCAGGATCCTGCAGGATTTTGCAGGCCTGATTGACCCGGGTCTGGATTGACCCGGGTCAGAAGATCCCCGGCTCACTCCCACCCGCCCGCGCACCACAGAAGTAGCAGTCGAGTCTCAGCGTGGGCAGGGGCCACCCTCGGAGACCATCGGGGACCCATGCGGGCGCCAGCCAGGTCCACGCCCACGAAGTGCGCCGCGCGTGCCAGGGCCTCCTCCTCCTCCTCCTCCTCCTCCTCCTCCTCCTCCTCCTCCTCCTCCTCCTCCTCATCCTCATCCTCATCCTCATCCTCATCCTCCTCATCCCTGCCAGGTAGGAATTCAAAATGATTGCGGGGCGCCCGCGCATGGTCGAAGATTTTGCCGCAACGCTGGCTTTGAATCAGCTTTTGACAGGAATGGTGGGCTTGCACACGCGGGGCAATATGATGCCCCCCCTCCTTCGTCCCTGTCTAAGGAAAATCTCGAGACGTACACAATCCTTTCTAAAAGCGAGGCGACTGTCAATAGGAGCACTCCATAAGAATAGAGAGCTCATTGAAAGATATGCAGTATTCGTGAATCCTTAGAGCACCCAGGTAGCCCACCAGAAAGCCTCGAGGTTTTGTCTGGGACTGCGTGGCACTCCGCTCCGCTGGACCTCCCATGAGCGCCGAAAGTGGCGGCAATGGCGGAGCTAGCAGCCCCCCAGGGAGACGCGAGGTCTCGCCTGGGTCTGTGTGGCACTCCCCTCCGCTGGACCTCCCATGAGCGCATGACAGTGTCGACAGTTGCGAAATTGGCAGCCTCAGGGAGCAGCAAGGTCTCGTCTGGGTCTGCGTAACACTCCATTCTGCTGGATCTCCCAGAAACACACCAAAGTAATGAAAGCTGCGCAGTTGACAGCACCCCAGGGAGCCGCGAGATCCAGCCTGGGTAATAGGAGAGACGCAGGTAGGAGGCAGGAGGAGGGAGCGGGCGGGAGGAAGGATGAAGGAGATGTGCGAGCAGTGATCTTCTCAAAACGAGAACCCAACACGGGGGGGGAATAAAGTGAAGTGATCGCGGGGCGCAGAAACACGATACAGATTTTGCCGCAAAGTGCATCCTGATGTCTTTGTTGGCAGAGATGGTGGCGGGGGAGGCACTGTCCCAGGTCTGTCGCCGGTAGGGGGGGGGAGGGGGAGTCTATGAGCAAGGAACCTTGGCAGACCCGTCCCCGAAGGGGCAGGAGGGGGGCTGGAAGAGGACACGCTCTGGACCGCCTCCGCCCCGAGGGGCCGCTGGGATGCCCCCGGGAGCCCAGGGAGCCGGCCAGCCTCATCTCGGCGGGCGGCGCCCCAGGAGGCGGACCCTCGGCGAGCAGATCCGGCAGACCTTTGCCAAGCAGCGCGAGCACTCCTCCGACGAGCCGCCCGAGGATTCAGGCCGTCGCGCGCGCGCTCATCCTCCTCCTCCTCCTCTTCCTCCCCCTCCTCCTCCTCACCCCCCTCCTCCTCCTCCTCCAACTCTTCCTTCTCCTCCTCCTCCTCCTCCTCCTCCTCCTCCTCCTCCTCCTCCTCCTCCTCCTCCTCCTCCTCCTCCTCCTCCTCCTGCCGTCTGGCGGGCCGCCAGACGGCCGCAGGGCCCGTGAGCTCCTCGCGGCCCCTGCAAGCGTCGGAGCGCCTGCGCAGCCGTGGAGCGCCGTACCCAACGCAAGTTCATCCCTCGTCACCAGTCCTGCTTACCTGGAACACCCCACTCAGAGCTGCCATATATCCCAGAAGTTCACCCAAGCAACCCTTGGAGCTTGCCCATGTAGACGTCGAGAGCAGGTCGGGGACAACGTGCCCCCGATTCCTCGCATCATTCGCTCTACCCGATAACAGACTGCTCAGCTCCAACGATCCCAAGGAAACCTTCGGAGGCCTACCACCCTTGGGGCCTCGGGCCCCTGGGGGCCAGCCGTGCCGCGCAGGCCAATGCGGCCCCAGCGGCGGGCGAGGAAGAGCGGAGGCCGCCTCTCGCCCGTGGTGTTCGGCCCCGGGGGGCCGTCACCTTGTCCCAGGGCCTTCCAAAAACGACTCGAGACGAAGAAGCGGTCCCCGGCGAGGGGCCCAGACCTCTGGCGGTCGACGCCATGAAAAAATCAGGACGTCGAGGGTCTGGCGGCGAGGCGGGGGGGGGTCCCAGAGGGCGGGCGAAATCTAGGCGCCCCAGATCTCAGGGTCCGCCCCTCTGTCCTTGGGAGGTTCTGGGGAGGGGAGCCCCGCCCGGCGCATCTGTCTGGTCAGGCCGTGGGAGATGGCATAATCATGTTTGGCGTCTGGCGATCGCGCGTCGAAACCCTGGACGTCTGCGCGCTCTCGCCTAGCTCGTGGGCGGGCTGCAGCATCAGCGCCTGCTGCTCTGGGCCTTCCACTTCCCTCCTCCTCCTCCTCCTTCTTGCTCTGAGACGCGCTCTTCAAGGCGTCCCAGATGGGGTCCGAGTGATTGGGGTCGGAGGATCGCGCCGCATCGCCGATGCATCGGCGATGCGGCTCGATGTGGAGCCCGAACTTTTCCACGCCGACGTGGCCCGCCGACATCGCCGACGCATCGCCCATGCACCGCCGATGCATTGGCGACACGGCGCGGTCATCTGACCCGCCTACTCGGATCCCATCCAGGCGACCTCTTCGAAAGCAGGGACAAGCCGACGGGACGGGCGGGCGGACCCCAGCGAGCAGGCGGGCGGTCTTCGTGTTTCGGGCGAAGCGGGGCGGGGCGGGCGGGCACGGGACGGGCGGAGGCCCCCCCCCCCGGACGGGCTCCGGAGGCCAGCGGGAGCCCTCGAAGACCGCAGGAGCAGCACGGCAGGCTCGTGTCGCGTCCACGCAGCGGCGGCCCGAGCGTGGGCGCTCATCGGGGGCAGCGTCAGGGGTGGAAAGGCTCAGGGGTCGACGCATCGACCCCAAATCGCCCAGCCATCGCCGACGGGGGCCCGAGGAACGCGCGGTTTCGCCATCAAGAGCCTGTCGCCGATGTATCGCCGATTCCAGGTCGATGCCCCCCCTCCTCTCCTGAGCCAGTCCCCCCCATCGTTGCCCCTCGGTTCAAGGCTGAACCGTCAACCACAGCCCAGATTCGGCCGGCGTCGAGCGATCTTCGCTGTCGGGAAGCCGCGGTCGCTTAGGGCCGAGCGATTCGCGCGGCGCCAGGAGCCAGAGCCCAGATCGACGCGACACGAGCCTGCTGCACCCTCGGACCTTCCTCCTGGGTGGGCCCCGTACTGGAGCCCAGAGAGGGTCCGCGGCTTCGTTTCTCTCCTTCGTCAGGCCTCCCACCGCTTGCCTGGTGGCACTCCGCGTCAGGGCCTGCTCGGCTCCCAGACACGTGGCGTCCTGATGTTTCAAGACGCTGTTCCCAGAGAAAGCGACAAGCGAAGTCCCAGAAAATGCGACGCTCATACCCTTCCCCCAAAGCTGCTTGTTCATCCCGAGTAGTTTTGACAAAGCCCATGGAATGCCCCAAGATGCCGAAAACGGCTGAAAGATGTACGTCATGATTGCGTTGCGACGCGAGCATGTCTGGTCTGCAGACTCGAGCCGAGAAGACTGAAATTGCATTGCGCGCTGCTGGTTCAGATTCGACTACACGTAAGGGTGACCCTTCGCCGGAGTGACCTGTAGTGCGGGCTCATCGAAGCTCCCCCGATCGCTGAGCGCGATGCGATAGCGGCTGACAACGCGCTTGGATTTGGCCACATTGCGCCCCCTTGGCCCGCGCACCAGAGGTCACTCCTGTCTAGGGTCACTCTGGCGCGCTGCTGGCCCAGATCGGAGCCACCTGAACGACGCAAGAAAACGGGTTCGTCTGCGCCGACATTGGCGAGTAAGCTGCCCGCGTAAGGCGCCCTCGTCTCCAAGGTAGCGTGCCGCGCTGGCGGCCCGCGTGAGCTGCCGCGTAAGGGCGCGATGGCATCTCGCATAAGACACGTTTTCGACCTTCGCTCACCTGGTAGCAGTCTTCTTGCACGGGCGGGCGCTCAACCACTGGGGGCCGCTCCCTCGGCGGCGAGAGCGAGGGGTGACGTAACACGCTCTCAACGCCAAGGCTCCCGGTACGAACGGTGGTGTGAGTAGTTTCGGTTTCTGTTTCTGAAGCGTTTTTTCCGTTTCTGTGCCGGGCCAGGTAACGGAAAGAGCGAGGTACGAGTGATGACGTTTTGGTGTGGGCGAAGCCCTAAAGGGAGGGGTTCCAGGGGAGGGGGGTAGGCCAGGGGAATGAGTGTTAATGGCCGTTTTTGGCTGTTTTCCTTCGCGAGTTTTTGTATGTTTTCGGGTTTCTCCTTTTTTCCATCCCAGAAGGGCCCTCGACGGCCCAAGAGGCCCCAAAGATCGGCCCAAGAGGCTTCCGAGACGCCCCGAGAGACGTCCAAGAGGCGCCCCAACAGGCCCCCAAGAGGCTCGCATCATTGATTTTCCAAAGGAAAATTTACATTTTTAGCATATACGGCTTTTCGGGTTTCACGGCGTTCAAGACGGCCCACGAGGCCCCCAAGACCGCCACAAGACAGTCCAAGAGGCCCCCAAAACGGCCCAAGAGGGCCCCAAGACGGCCCCAGATGCGCCCAAGACGGCCCCAGAGGGCCCCAAGACGGCCCCTAGAAGGGGACCACGAATTGAAAAGTCTAGCTTTTCGCCCCAAGATGCTCCCAGGAGGCCCCAAGAGCCCCCCAAGAAGCCCCAAGAGGCCCCCAAGAGGCGTCACAAGAGGCCACCAAGAGGCCAAAAGCATGGATTTCCCATTGGAAAAGGTACATCTTTTAGTATACACGGCTCTTCGGCTTTCACTGCGTTGGAAACGGCCCAAGAGGCCCCCAAGATCGCCCCAAGACGGCCCAAGAGGCTCCCAAGAGGCCCCAAAAACAGCGCAAGAGGGCCCCAACAGGCGCCCAGGACGGCCCAAGAGGGCCCCAAGACGGCCCCAAGAGGGGGACCACGAATTGAAAAATCTGACCTTTCGCCCCAAGACGCTCCCAGAAGCCAAGAAAAGCCCCCCAAGAAGCCCCTAGAGGCGTCCCAAGAGGCCGCCAAGAGGCCAAAATCATTGAATTCCGATCGGAAAACGTACATTTTTAGCATACACGACTTTTCTGGTTTCGCGGCGTTCAAGACGGCCCACGAGGCCCCCAAGACCGTCCCAAGACGGCCCAAGAGGCCCCCAAAACGGCCCAAGAGGGCCCCAAGACGGCCCCAGATGCGCCCAAGACGGCCCAAGAGGGCGCCCCAAGACGGCCCCAAGAGGGGGACCACGAACCGAAAAGTTTAGCCTTTCGCCCCAAGAAGCCCCCAGGAGGCCCCAAGAGCCCCCCAAGAAGCCCCAAGAGGCCCCAAAAAAGGTACCAAAAGAGCCCCAATAGGACTCCCAAGAAGGCCCAGAGACGCCAAATAAAGAGCGATCGGTAACGCAAAAAGCTCTTCACACCAAGGCTCCCAAGAGCGAACGGTGACGTAAAAGGCCCAGCCAAGGCTCAGGAACGGGCGGCAACGCAACAATCTCTGAACACCAAGGCTCCCAAGAGCGAGGGGTGACGTAACACGCTCTCAACGCCAAGGCTCCCAGTACGAACGGTGGTGTGAGTAATTTCGGCTTCTGTTTCTGAAGCGCTCTTTCCGTTTCTGTGCCGGGCCAGGTAACGGAAAGAGCGAGGTACGAGTGATGACGTTTTGGTGCGGGCGAAGCCCTAAAGGGAGGGGTTCCAGGGAAGGGGGGTTAGCGGGCACGAATGGGCTCTAATGGCCGTTTGGGGTTTTTCCCTCGGGTTTGTGAATGTTTTTCGGATTTCTTTTCTTTTCCGTCCCAGAAGAGCCCAAGACCGCCCAAGACAGCCCCAAGACGTCGCAAGAGGCCCCCAAGACGCCCCAAGGGGCGTCCCAAGAGGGCCCCAAGAGGCAAAAATCATCGATTCTCACGAGGATAACGTATATTTTTAGCATATACGGCTTTTCGCCTTTCACGGCGTCGACGACGGCCCAAGAGGCCCCCAAGACCGCCCCAAGACGGCCCAAGTGGCTCCCAAGAGGCCCCCAAAACGGCCCAAGAGGGCCCCCAGACGGCCCAAGAGGCGCCCAAGACGGCCCAAGAGGGCCCCAAGACGGGCCCAAGAGGGGGACCACGAACCCGAAAGTCTAGCCTTTCGCCCAAAGACGCTCCCGGGAGGCCCCCATAGACCCCCAAGAAGCCACAAGAGGCCCCCAAGAGGCCCCCAAGATGCCACCAGGAGGGCCCGAAAAGGGCCCCAATAGGACCCCCACGAAGGCCCAGAGACGCCAAGAGCGATCCGTAATGCAAAAAGCTCTCCACACCAAGGCTCCCAAGAGCGAACGGTGACGTAAACAAGCTGATCAGTTCAAGGCTCTCAGCAGAGAGCGGTGACGTGACAAGTGCCTGACACCAAGGCCAAGCCAAGGCTCAGGAACGGGCGGCAACGCAACAATCTCTGAACCCCAAGGCTCCCAAGAGCGAGGGGTGACGTAACCAGCTCTCAACGCCAAGGCTCCCGGTACGAACGATGGTGTGAGTAATTTCGGTTTCTGTTGCTGCAGCGCTCTTTCCGTTTCTGTGCCGGGCCAGGTCTAGTGGTTTTCGGTCCATCTTGCCACCGTGCCGGGGTTGTAGGTCAGAGGCCTTCTGGATGCGTGTGAGGATCTATTGGGGGGCTTCGCGGAGGCGGTTTTGGGGGTGTTTTGGGGTGTCTTGGGGGTTTCTCGGGGCCTCATTCGGGCATCTTGGGGGCCCCTTGGGGCCTCTTGGGCGCACCTCGGGGACTTGTGGGGGCATCTTGGGGCTATCTTGGGGCGGAGGGCTCCAAATGTCAGGTTGGGTTCCCCTTATTGGGGCCGTCTTGGGGGCCGTTTTGGCGACTCTTGGGCCGTTTTGTGGCAAGATTGGGCGCCTCTTAGGCCGTGGGCGCCCTGACGACCGAAAAGGCGGTAATGCGAAAACCATCCAAAAACTAATGGAAGAGTACGATGTTGGCCTATTGGGTCGCCCTCCAGGCTCCCCAAGACAGCCTAAGAGGCGCCCAAGAAAGCTCCAGGACAGTCCCCAGGGCCATCTGAAACCATGTTGGACATGCATGTCCCGAACAACGCGCTCTTGCTTTCTCGAGAAGTCACGCGGGGATCCCCCGAGAGCGCCCTGGAGCGGTTCCAGGTCGATGCTTACCCCTTGAGCTGGTCACCCCCCCTGACTTTGCCCCTCGTTCAAACGTGTGGCAAGAGAGGCGCTCTTGAACGCGTTCGCAGTTCGGTCGCGTATAGTTCGTTGGGTATCGGATCACGCTTGCTGGATGTGTGTTCCGTGGACTTGCTCTGCGCCGACGAGCAGATGCAAGCCCGCTGCTCGACCGAAAGTCGGACGTCGTGGTAGGTTCGATGGCACTACTGCTGCAACAAGCTTGGCGAGCCCGATGCGCATGGGAGCACGTCAGCCGCGGCGAACATACGTTTGAGAGAGTGTGTTGCTCGCGTGGCTGTGGCCGAGCACCGAAGGAACTCTCCCTTGCTGCAGACCCCGATCCGAGGAGGAGAAGAGAAGGAGGAGGAGGAGGAGGAGGAGGAGGAGGAGGAGGAGGAGGAGAGGAGAGGAGAGGAGAGGAGAGGAGAGGAGAGGAGAGGAGAGGAGAGGAGAGGAGAGGAGAGGAGAGAAGAGAAGAGAAGAGAAGAAGGATGTCTTCCTTGCCGCAGACTCCGATCCGAGGCGGTCTGCCTCGTTGCCCTCATCTCCCGCAGCAGTTGATCCCACCCCTGCTGGTTGCCCACGCAAGGCTCACCTCACGGCGAGGTCACCTACGGCAAGGGCAGGATCGCCCTCCTCAAGGACCCCCAGCTCCTAAAGCGCGGACGGCATGCACCCGTTCTGGTTACGTTGCTTTGCACACGTCATACCGAGCGGGCTCACGCGGTGTTTGAAACCAACGCGCAGGTCGTCACGACAGTAGCTCGCAGCACGTAGGAGCGAAGGCGGTGATGGGCCCTAGAAAGGATCAGGCGCACTCCGTCGCGAGTGCACTTTACGCAGGGCCGAGGTTGAGTCGCACGAGCGTAAGAGCCAGAAGGGCAGAACTGAACGATATGAGTGTCCTGTCGTGCACGTGGCACTGAGTTGACGGGTTGTGCCCTCTTGTACACACGGCCGTGCCCGCCGTGCAGCGCGGGGGTCCAGTTCCACTTGGCCGTCCCTCAGACAGCGCAGAGGCAGCTGTACCCGACACGACTAGCGCGCGAGCTTCACTGACTCCCCACTTCGCTGCTCCAGTCTCAGCACGAAGCCGCAACCATAGGGAAGAGAAAGAGACATCATGTTCAGTCAAATAGGCACCCACCAGCATCAAGCCCAGAAGCTTGGCCACGACGTCGCAGGAGTATCCCAGGGACGACGCGTTGTTCTGGCAAGTGGCGGCATCCCTCCAAGTCTCGGGGAAGACGGGATTCACGCCGCGTCGTGGAAAAATATACGACGGAAGGTTTTTGCCAGTTTGCGGACTCTGATGGCTTTCACCGGGCCCTGGGGACGACAGGAAAATGTTCAGGATGAAGAGACGTCTGGGGGTCCATGTTGTGAAACGATCTTGTCGCAGCGACATCGACGGCGACGCCAGTGGGCGGGAGAGAAGAAAATGGGGAAACGCACACTGAATACGCTCCTTGCCGAACCTGCCGATTCGTCGGAGTGTCAGATTCAAGGTGTGTCCGCACACAGGGTTGCACCAGGACTGTGACGCACACTTAACCCTTCAAGGCGAAGGACCGCCCCAGGACTGTTAAGGACGGTTGTCTTCAAAAACGCTTCCTCCTCCTCCTCCTTCTCCTTCCCCCCGCTCTTACTAGACATTCGAATTCAAATCCAGTGGGGGCCGCACTACGCTAGGCCCCCCAGGAGCCACTACGGCCTTCGGTGGAGTTCCTTGTGGGGCCACGCAGCGTGTGAGGGGTGTGCCAACATGGGCGTGGGCACTAATGCGAACTGGCCACTGGGGCCGTCGGTGGAGCCCCCCATGGGGCCACGAAAAGTGTGACGGGTTGACCCGGGCGTGTATCAGAATTCTGCCACCGGGGCTTTCGGTGGAACTCCCCATGGGTCAACAAAACGTGTGATGGTGTGCCGACATGGGCTCGTGGACGCACACAACCTTTGCCAATGGGACAGTCGGTGGAGCTCCCCACGGGCCCTATGGGGCCACGAAGCGTGTGAGGGGTGTGCTGAAATTGGCGCGGGGACGCATACAACCTTTGCCACTGTGGCCTTCGATGGAGCTCATGTGCCAAAATCAGCGCGGTGGCCACCTTCTTCGCCCCTCCCACTCCCCTACCCTCGCATCCTCGCCAATCCCACCCCCTTCTCGTCCGTTCCTAACACGTCATCCCTCCCTCCCCGCCCCCCCGTTCACCATGGCATAAACGTTACGTTCTTCCTTCGCATACTCCTCCTCCTCCTCCTCCTCCTCCTCCCCTCCTCCTCCTTCCCCTCCTCCTCTCCTCCTCCTCCTCCTCCTCCTCCTCCGCCTCCTCCTTCTCACCTTCCTCTCCTCTTTCTCCTCCTCCTCCTTCTCCTCCTCCTCGTCCTTCTCCTCTCCTCCGCCTCCTCCTCCTTCTCCTCCTGCTCCTCCTCCTCTCCTCTTCCTCCTCCTCCTGCTCCTCCTCCTCCTCCTCCTCCTCCTCCCACTCCTCATCATCATCATCATCATCATCATCATCATCATCATCATCATCATCATCATCATCATCATCATCATCATCATCATCATCATCATCATCATCATCATCATCGTCATCGTCATCGTCATCGTCATCGTCATCGTCATCGTCATCGTCATCGTCATCATCATCTCATCATCATCATCATCATCATCATCATCATCATCATCATCATCATCATCATCTTCATCATCTTTCTCCTCCTCCTCCTCCTCCTCCTCCTCCTCCTCCTCCTCCTCCTCCTCCTCCTCCTCCTCCTCGTCAGCATCAGCATCAGCATCAGCATCCTCCTCGGCGGCCGCGTGTCTGCCGCACGCCGGGAGCACTTTAAATGGGAGCCGGCAGACACCTCCGCCGCCCCGCAAAGAGGGCGGCTCCCCAGGGGTGGCCGGCTGTTGAGAACAACGGCCATTCCACTTTCAGAGGGGAGGGATCTGCCATCAAGGGCTTCTAAACTAGGAATCGGACGACAAGGTATCTGGCCGCGAGAAGCCCCGAGCGTCCCGAGCGCCCCGCGCGGGCCCGCCAGCCTTGGGCCCGTCAGCTCGCTGCCAGCCCGCCTGCTGGCCCCAGTGCCGCCGAGCCTTGGCTGCGCCTCGAGCGCGGGTCGCCTCGCCCCCTGCAGCGCAGCGCAGCACCCGCCAGCAGTGCCAGCGCGCCGCGGTGCCCGCCGCGTCGCCGGCGGCGCCGCGCTGCGCCGCGCCTGGCCGCCCTGCGCCAGCGCCGCCGCCGCCGCCGCTGCACGGCCGCCTTCGGCGCGCGCCCAGCGCCCGCAGCGCGGCGCCCGAGACCCGGCTGCGGCGGCGCGCCCGCCAGCCGCTCAGCCCGCTAGCCGCCCAGCTCAGCCAGGCGCGCGCCCCCGCTCAGCTCCCGCGCGCGCGCGCGGCGGGCCGCCAGCTCGGAGGCGCCGCCTGCCCCGAGGCGCATCGCCCCGCGCGCGGCAAAGCAGGCGAAGCAGCAGGCCTCCGCGCTGCAGCGTCGCCGCGAGACTCTGGCGAGCGGCCGCCAGCACGGCGGCGTCGCCGCGCGCCCAAGTTTGGAGGAGCGCCTGCGCCTCCACCCCAGCGCGCCCCAGCACCTCCAGCACGAAGGCCGTGAGAGCTGGGCCCGGGTAGTAGCGCCTGTGCTTGCGCTCCTCCCCGGCCGCCGCGGCAGCGCCGTCCCGGACGGCGCGGCTCCGGCCCGCCGGCGCGTCCGCGCCCAGGGCGGCATTGCCCGCCACGTCGCCGTAGGACACGCTGGCCGCGGGGTCGGTGTGGACCACGTCAAGGCGGACTGCTTCGACAGAGCCGTCCGCCCGCGCCTGGCCCCAGGCGGGCACGAACTTCTCCGCGTCCACGCCCGTCGCGCCCCAGGCCTGCAGACAGCTGGCGAGCCAGTCCCTGACGCCATCGTGGCGATGGCTCGTGCCGCCGCCGACAGGCAGTGCCCCCGCTTCGCGGCCAGGTCGGCCCCGCAGGGCGCGCCGCCCTCCCGGCGCCGGAGGCAAGTGGCGCTGGCGGCTGCGAACGCAGGCAGTTGCAGTCGCAGCGCCGGGGCTGGGAGGAAGTGTGCGTCCGCCATGACGCGGTCCTCCTCCGTAGACGGCAGGGGCCAGCCCCCCGCGCCCTTCCCGCTGACCGAGCGGCGCTGCGCTGCGCGGTTCGGCGGCAGGGCACCCAGGAGCCGCTGCCAGCGCGCGCGCTGCTCTGGCGCCGCGAAGGCCCGCTGCGTCTTGGCCCTCGGCCCCGCGGCGGCGCAAAGTCAGCCAGCGCTGCGCACCTGGAGCGCGTGGCCCGCGCCCTCGGCCTCCCCCCACGCCGTCGGGCAAGCCTACAGGAGGGCCTCGAGGCTGGGTAGGCCGAGCTCACGCAGACGCCGGCCAGATACGCCTGCCAAGCCCCTACAACGAACAGCCCGCGGAGCGCGAGGCCCCGGAGACCCACCCCGCCGGCGGCGAGGGGCAGGACGGCCAGGTCGCGCGCGAGGTCAGGGAGCTCCTGGCGCCTGGCGAGCGGCTTCAGAACCTCGTGCACGTGGCCGAGAGCCACCGCGTCGCAACAATAATACCATGGCTCGTCCAGCGGTGCGCCCTCTCGCGGCACAGGGCCGCGCCGTCGGCGAAGGTGCGGAGCAGCTCGAGCTCGTCGTGGGCGCGCAGCCCGCGTCTGGGCGGCGAGGTAGGCGTCGAGGTGGTTCTGGGCCGCCTGCGGGGCGGCAGCCAGCGAGAAGCTCGCCCGCACAGGGTCGGCGCCCGGAGCTGCTCCCGCGGCGTGGCGCACGCAAGGGAGAGCGCTTCCCACGCACGTGACCTCGGGCACCTCCGCCCTGGCCAGCGGCCCGGGGAGCTGCGGGGCGCGCGGGTTCCAAACATTCGTCTTCCGTTAGCTCACGCGGAGGCCCCGCGCCGAGAAGAGCCCGAGCGCGGCGAGGAGTGCCGCTGCCAGTGCACGCGGGCGACGCACACGTCGTCCTCGCGCACGCGCACACGTCATCGGAGTAGGCCACTACCTTAACCTCAGGGCCCATTTGGCGCGCCGCCGCCCCCAGGCACTCGTAGAGCGTCGCCATCGCCACTGCGAAGAATGCAGCGGAGAGGGGGCAACCCTGGCCCGCCCCGCGCTGCGCTGTGATCAGCGCCGCCCTGGCCCCGGGAAGGCGGGCTCCACGCGTAGCGGGGCCGCCGTGCCACTCCGTCGAGAGCCGCGCCAGCTCCAGCAGGCGGCCAGAGACCTCCCGCAGCAGAGTGTCCTGACAGAGCTCGCCCAACGCGTTGGCCACGCCCAGGGAGAGCACAGCGGCGCCCGGGTCCCTCTCCATCGCGGTCGCTGCGATGCGGTGCATCAGTTCGATGCCGCTCTTGCGGCCAACGCCGACTCTGTGGCGCCGCTGCCGTGGCGATGGCTTCTTTGTGAGCCGCCGCGGCCGCCTTGGCCGCCATCCTGCGCAGCGTCTCGCCGCAGGCAAGCGGCCGCACGCCGCCCCGGGCTTCGGCAGCGGCAGCAGCCGCCAAGAGATTGCCTGCGCTGGCGCCCGGCCCTCGAGGACGAGGACCTGCGCGAA